TGCCCCATCCCGTGAGCTTACGCACCCCAGACCGAGCGGTGACGGAGCAGAAAGGTTCACCTGCTAGGAGATCTTCGAACGCGATCGGGAAGCTTCGTTTCACTCCGCGTAATTCGCCTTATCCCGGAAATCGCTTGAAAAACTGAATGGAGAGTCTGCTGTTCCAGGCTGCGTCACCTTATCATTTCTCGATAACTCTCGGTTATCTTTGGATGACTGCGACGGCCGGTCGCGCTGTAGATGCGGCTGCCCTGATCGCCACCGTCCATGAGGAACGAGGAGTCGCATCGAGCTGGCTTCACGCGAGAGGACAATAATCTTCAGTCATGGTCGGATGATTGCTACGAAAATATTGGAGGAAAAATTAGAAAAGCTGTGAGTCGATCTGTCATCGGAAGTAGAATATAAAGGATGGCTTCTGAGCGCCGCCGGTCGAACGACGCGAACCTTACCGGAGGAACAAGCGTTATCGATCACAGGTGGCGCGCGCCCAAACCTGTCAAAACGGTCGGACTCTTGAGTTTTTTCTTCAGTGAGGAAAAAACTCCTTTCGTTTTTCCCTTCGCGATGCTCGTTGGATTCTGTTTGCGGTACTGAATCTTTCTCTACCGACGACGGCTACCAGCAGCACCGGCGTAAATCGATGATTGACTCGCTCGATGCGCATACCGTTGCGGTTTGCTGTGTGCGATCTGTGTGAGCTTTGATTGTGTGAGTCTTGGTGCCAAGCAGGGTAAGTTCGTATTTCGAGGCGTGGTGATATGCTGGCTGGTTGACTGACTGTTGTTGCTGCAGCAGCTCCGGCCTTACTGTGTTCAACTCGCTGGCTGGATATTCCGTGGCGATGATGGAATTGACGCCGTATTGGATCGAGTGGAGCAACAAGAAAGCACATCCCACATTGGCCAGTAAATCTCGAACGTCGCCGACGACGACGTCCATCCAACAGTCGTTCGGCCGGCCGGTCAACTAGCCAGCGAGCCAGCAGCTTGTGGTCGCCATCCAATTAAGAACAACGGCTCGCGGGCTGTCATTAAATTCGCTATAAGTCTTCAGTGATGTGATCGAACCACTTTTTCGTTCTCCTCGGGACAATACCGGATCTCTGCCAGATCGACATCCCATCACATCGCCCGAACGACCGAGCGACCGAGCGGGCAGGAAAGCAAGCCGCCAACCGTCAAGATAATTTATTCAGAGGATTGCATTCAGCTCGCAGGGGTTGCTGTTGTTTCCATTGCCGATTATGGCTGGTAGATAATCACCAAACAACTCGAGCGTCGTCTTCGACCGATTTCACTCCGGGCTTAGGCGACGACTCAACAACGGAAAACGAGATCCGAATTCATGGATCGCTCCATCGCTCACTCGGTGCAACCCGAGCGCGTTCGGGAGTTTTAAGCCGGTTATGCGTAATGCGCGCTTCCTGCGGCCGGCTTCGGATTTCGGTGCTTCCCCGCTCGATCGAAGAGGTCGGGCGCTCCGATCTCGATCGAGTCGAACGATCTGATTGACACAGGAGATGATGAGGATAGCGATAGGGACGATAATTGCGATGAGCCGGATAGGGATGATAATGAATGACTTAGACCGAAGAACAATGTGGAGCACAACGCTCTTGATGGCGGCGGGGACAGGGTGAGCTGATCGAGGAAAACAAGCCGATTGTGTGCAACCCTCGGCCCGAGCTGACTCCGAGCACTTCTCCGAGAAATCTACGGCTGTCGGCAGAAATGAGCATGAATGCCACGCAATTTTCTCTTCAGGACCCCGAGCTGCCGAGTGTGCGGGAAGGGGTCAGAGATGATAGCGTCAGTCCCTCACGGAGGTTCCTCCCACCTGCTGTAAAGGATTTCGTGAGGACGTTCATGAAGTGTCACACATCGGACGGCAGCCGGAGTGCTCGACCTGACATTCCAGACGTGAACCTATACATATTATATATGATGCTTGACGTACATTTTCCAGCGTTTTTCCCCGAGCTCTAACCGTCAGAGGAGATGGATACATTCCGACGCGGAGGGAAATCGAATGAGACCCACCGGGTCGACAGATCGACCGGGCCACTGATCTACTGGTATACGATGCAAAAACCGCTTACGCCCAGTCGAGCCGCGACCGTACGTCGAGGAAACTTGGGCAACGATCCTGAGATCATGAGCAGCGAGAGAGAGGGTGAGAGCTGAAATTAGTCGACAAGAACGATGTCGACGAAGAAGAATGTCCCCTCCTGATCGTAGTTGCCTCGGACTTCGTTTTCGGTGAGGTACCGATTTCGGAGCGTCTGTGCTCTCGATGACGGATGAACGGATCTGTCCGGGAGTCGGCGGAATTGGAACTAATTGTCTGGCGGGGAAACGAATTTGGCGTTATCCGTAAAACGACGCGAAGCCAACGATGCCAACCGAGCGATCAGCCGAGAATTCCTACGGGATACTACGTGTCCGCGCAGCACTCAGGCGAGATGAGTTCAGAAAAAAAACAGCGTTTAAACCTGTGTGGAGGCTTTTCTCAAAATTAACCCAAGCTCTTGACCCGGGTCGTCGCTCGCGCGGGCGGCGGCGGCGTCGGCGGTCAGGTGTAATCGATGCAGTTAAGAAAATATACCGAAAGCTCGCAAATCTCTGGGTTGTCGATTCCTTCCGATCCCCACCGTTGGTCCAACTAAATGAAGTCTCGCATCCTGGTTGAAGAAAAAGGATTTCAAGAATTCTACCTATTTGACCCGCATCAAGCCGCCACCTACGAACGGCAACTAGCTTGAAAATTGGCGCAAAGCTTTCTTTCGAGACGATGTCTGAAGTCGTTACGAAGCGGCGAAAGCGTTTTTTGAGTGACCTCGCGCACCTGTTTCTCTTTGAGAATGGGATCCGAATCCTCGCTCTCAAGCCAATCAACGCCCCCGAGAATGGCGTTGATCGCTCGAGCCGGTATTCGGGCCGGTTCGCCATTGGGGGTACGATCGCCGAATTCCGTCAAACGAGTCACCTCTGATTTTGAGCGCCTCAAAATTAATTTTTTCAAGAAGGAAAATACACGAATCCACCTCATTCATCGGATGGCTCCTCTTTTGGTTCCTTTTCCTGCGACCCTCAGCATTTGCATCCGATCGCCGGGTCACAGGATGCGCTGATCGAGCGGCGCCATCGCTCCCTTCGATCCTTGCCGAAAGCTTCCTACTCAATCCTGCGGATCGCGCGACCGATCACGGGACCGATCGCGATGCATCTTCCGCTCCGAAATTCGAGTCATAGCTCTTGTGATGGGTTTTTCGATTCCCCGACATACCTAGGGTTCCGATATATGACTTCCACATCACGGATCGTGTGAGATTGAAGACGACACTTTGAGCGCAAAGTTTTGTGCCTTCAGCCATCTCCGATAATTATTATGAGCAGAGAAACACAGCCGTCGGTGTCGGAGTAGAGCATCACCGCGCGCTCAACAGTCGTCAAGCAGACTCCGGATTCCTACGGTAATCATCGGCTCGAAACGCCCCTTCCGTGAACGGAGCAAGTCGGCCAGTTCACTTGTTGCTCTTCTCGTTGCTGGAGTTCCGTTAGGGGCTTCGAGCCATCTTCAGCAGATCACTTCGCTTAGCTTTCTCCAGCAGGATCGCAACCCCCCGCCGGTGCCCCATAAGCACCTGAGGCGTGGCACTCCCCCGCCACCCGGATCTCAAGCGAAGCCGCAACGATATTTATTGACAGAACAACTAGCTCTATATGATCATCATCGACGTCCTGGGCATGACGACGGCCGGCCGGCGTCGACGAATAGATTTTGACGATTTTCAAGTCGTGACCGGCGAACCCACTCCCGTAGAAGAAGGTCAGTCAGGTGCAGAACATTTACAGGTTCACAAAGGCAGACGACAGGCATGCAGACAGACCGACCGAGAAAGTGGCCCAGACGAGGGTCTCGTGTCTTCTGAATGATGGGATGGTTACAACTTACTGTCATTGTCTGGGTGACTTCGAAAAACCCGGTTTCAGCGAGCAGACGTTTTTTGTCCGACTGAATCGTTCAGTGAGAAGCCCCGAAGATGAGATGGAAGCGTTCTGAGCAAACACTTACACCACACTCCCTGCCCGACGTTCGGAGGCGAACTTGTGATCTCCGGAAGGAAGCCCGATTGATCACACTCGCCCCAACACCCACTCGTCGGGAACATCACTTGCTCGGGGTGCCAGCAAGGCATAATTTCTCCGAGCTTTGTTTTGATTCGCCTTGTTTCGACATCCGACCCCTCACTCTCGAACCCTGAAGTACAGTGAAAATCTTGCCAGTCATCCCCAGAGTGATCGATCCGAGATATTCGAGGTCCCTGAATGTCCCGTCGCGATCAATAAATGTCTAAACAGGTCGATCCACGTAGTTGCTTGCCTTCTCTCGGTGGCTCTTAAAGCTTTCCAGTCAGCTCTTCGATTAACTCCTAGATGATCTTGCAAAAGCGACGGCAGATTTTCGGAACTCACCTCGAATCGGGTAATGTTTCGGCCTCGGGAGGTTTCATCCACCCTCATCGATTTTGCTCGCTACATGAGAGCATGTGTAGCAGGGAACTTTTTGGAAGACTTTGGGCCAAGGGACAATATCGATATGACTTTCAGCACATATTTTATTCAACATTTCTGTTTCTTTTAATACTGATCGATTGTACGGATGAGCTCCGTCTCCGACGAATTGTCGCTATTATGTACAGCACGGATCACAACTTCGTTGGTTAGCTCCATTGATTTGATTCGCTAGCTAAATATGTACACACATTGGCACTTGGGTTTGCCTTTCAACAGACATTTCTGTGTTTGGCTTGAAATTCTCACAAAATCCATTCGAGCCTATCCATCGAAATGACGTTCTTTCGGTATCTTCAACCACCGCTGAGAGCGAATAATTCACTCGCTCCGAAAGCTAGATCTAACTACGAGTAGATTCTGTACACAAAATACACTGCGGCGAAATACTGGAGCGTCTCGTGAAAATCGACGACAACTTGACTACAGCGATGTGACACCAAGATTGGTTTGCGCGTTCAGAGACATTGAACCGCGGGGATTTTTCGGCTGATGCCTTTTCATGTGCAGAGCGAGATGATCCGAGCGCGCGAAAGATCTTCCGCAAACCTGGCAACGGAAAGGTTTGGCTCCGGTATGCTTTCGGTAGTGACGCGTCAGCTCGTCGGAACGCGCGAACCGCCATTGGCAATCGTTCCAATGGCAACGATACGGCTTCTCACCTGAAACGACCCAAGCTCCCAATCAGAGATCATTCATCTCCGCTTCCTCGCGCGCTCGCCATCACCGTCGAACCGGTGAAGATGAGCTCTCAGAAACTCACCCGTGTGTATTCGCTGATGTGCTTTGAGGTGCGAGCTCTTCGTGTAGACTTTGTCACAGCCGGGAAAATCGCAATGATGAATCCTACGTTTCTCGAGATCAGGGTTGTTGCGTCGATTGTACGTTCGTGGTGTGATCGTCGCGTTGGGCAAGGCGGTCGTTGGTACTCGCGCCGTGGGACTGATCTGAGGTGGAATCGCCGGTGGCGAAAGCGAAGACGACGAGGAGACCGGCGGCCAACAGTACGACGAGTCTGTCTCCAATTTGGGAACTGGAAAATAATTCAGACTGAGCTCTCGCTCTAAAGTAAGCTCCAGAAACTATCTCGTTCCCGCAGGAGGCCCGAGGAGGTCCCATGCGAGAGGTTTTTCCGGACGAGTCCAACTCACCAAGCGGAGATTGTTCCCAAAAGCTGTTTGTGGGTGTTTGGGGAAAAGCCTGTTCAGGTTCTGTTTGGTGAATTTGAACTGCAGCACTACCGTGGATATAATAGCTAGGTTCGTGCTGCAGGAAGAAGTCGTCGATTTGGGGTGCGTAGCGCTTTGGGGCTTCGTTTGGGTATCGCTTGAGACCTTCGGATGGAGCCACTATCGATGTTGAGTACCTCGACTTGTCTTGAGATCCTGGATAACGGAGTTTATTATAGTCGTTCGATGAGTCCAACTGGAGCATCGGCGGAGGAAGACCGGTCTGAGGGGGGCCGGGCGGCCAGAAAGGTGATTGCGGGCATTGGGATTGGTAGACGGATCCCACTGGGTAGCTGGAGTTGAGCATCGAATTTTCCAGCTTCACCTGGATGGTCAGCTCCCGATTAGATTCACATCATTCCCACGGGAGCTCGCCTGCTCACTCAAGCTGTTTAGGGCCTCTTTCAGGAGGTTACCGCAACTCACATTGTGATCCTGCTGCGGCGATGGCCAGGACCCTCGGAGTGGGGCTTGTGCTGGAGGTGTTGTTGCGGGGGAACTCGTGTGAAGATATGCCCACCTTTCCGAGAGACTCTGTAAAGAAGATCGATTTCAGAATCAATCTCGAGAACCCATGACTGACCTCAATCACTCATGATTTGCCGTTTTTTTCCCGTTCTGAGACCGGGGTGAAGCAACCCATCCAGGTCTCGGGCATCCTCAGAACCTCGCGTCTGAGCTCGGGGCTTTCCCACCGGATATCGCTAGACCGAGTGTCAGAGTAGAAATCGATAGGGAGCGAGCTCTTCTCGACCGTTCTGAAGCGATTTCCTGCAGACCGGGTAGCCAGCATGAATCTTGTCCATAGCCGATTGGATATCGAGCGAGCTGACTGAGGCGAGGACCCTCAGACTTCACCGAATGAGGAACGATAATCGCCGGTCGATTGATTCTGAGCTGATAGCTGCGTCCGCAAGATTTCTTCCTAGAGCCTTCCCCGTGATCACGACTCATTTATTGAGCGACTTGTCGCGTAATTGCTACGTGAGGTGTCTCGTAAAAGCCTGAAGGTGTCTGGGTGAGAGGAATAACTCCTTGTCAATGATACGAACACTTGGGAGGCCAAGATCCCAGCTGACTCGTCCGGCATAAACCCAAATCTGAGACCTTGATAGATCTCCACACTAAAAGTGTAGTATACGGATTTGATGGCTTTCCAAGTCTTTCAATATATTTCGAATAGAGCGGATGAAGGCGTGAGAAATGCTTTGGCGTTGACCGCATAGTAACGAAAGCTCGGCAGACGGTCGGCGGAACCGCGGAGACGAACAGATCGCGTCATTTGCTCTAGCGTGGGCCTAAGCAGCACCTTTTCAATGAATGGAATCGTCACCTTTTCGAAAAGCTGTCAAGGATTTCTCACAGCTGAGCCGGACTGACGATATTGTCCGTGAATCATCATCACCGCTCGTTTTACGATTACATTGAACGGCGAATCGGTCTTTGATCTCAGGCAAAACTTTCTCGGAGCAAATGTTTACGACACAAACCCCGAAGTTCCGCGTCAAAAGCTCTTGTCTGTCATCGCGCATACAGCGGGGTGACCGCACGCCGCCATTCTGTGCATCACAGGCGTGCCTAATCGATAGGAAACTGCATCGAGCTGGACTCGGCACGAACGACGACGCATCAAGAATACTCTTTAAGTCTTCCGAGATAAAAACCCGTCGATCGCTCCCGTGAGTCATGCGCAGTTTTCCCGATTCGCTCGATGGTATCGACGGGAACGCCGTGCTTGCATGAATCCCACTGAAAGAAGCTGCTGAGTGATGCTTAGTCCTCGAAAATCAAATCGTTTACGGTCTGACACATCTCGTCAAGTGGCGTGGGAAGGTAGACAGATACACACGCAGACAGATCCACTCTTACACACATTCACACTTTCGGCTAGTCGGCCGCTTAACCTGCCATGTTGACATTGCAAGGCTACGTCAACCGGACACGTAACCTTCCGGATGATTTTCAACAGTTCAGCGAGACACCGAACAGTCATTCATTTCCCCACCGATTCGAGGAAATCTACATCATTTGAGACATGTTCACCTTCGGATGACGTTCCCATGAAACTTTGGGGAACAACGTAAAGATTAGGGACGTCTTCGTCGATAGCCGAGGATCTCTCGAACGTTCTCTAATTGAGAATACGCCAATCGGTCTCGAGCACACTGCGCAATTTTTCTCTCGCTCGCGAGGCTCGTTCGAACCATAGAACTTATATACCGATCGGACACAACCGCTGATTTCGCAACTCGGCGCCGCCGAGACGACGCGAGTGACGACGATCCTGTGTTTTTCTGACTTGACTCGACAACTTTCCCCTCCACGCTCCATTGGTGATCATTCATTTTGTCCTTCCGGCCGGTCGATAATTATTTGAGAAGACCACACACAACAGCTCCATGGTCAGCGTGCTGCTTCAGACCGATACTTCGTGAACCTCCATTTCAGGCTCTATCCCTCCGATCACTCCGAGTTTCGGAGAATCCGATCGGAACCGGGATTTGAGTTCTGCGTGGAGGAGGACCTCGGGAGTCTTCCAGCGCAGATTGGAGTATTTGCCCCGTTTCAATGCTGGATCACATGACGGAGAAAGAGACGGACGAACGCCTCGTACGGAGCGTTTGTTGTTTCCAAACGTAGTCGTTCGTCGAGTGAAGGCGGGCCAAAAGAGACTCGTTCTGAGGACCGGTTTTGGATTTCGGAACAAGGTGAGCGAAAGCCGACAGGAGATGAAGAGCCCTCTTGTCTCCACAAGTAAATTCGAGCAGAGAAACTCCCCAGAATTCATTACGGAACCTCTCAGACTGCAGCATCTCCAACACATCGCTCCCGTCGTCGCTCACTCGCATATCTTGACGAAGTTCCCCCCCAAATACTCAAGATGAACTCCGTAACGTGCAGTGATCGGGATCTCGGTAATAACGATTGGCCCAAAATAAGGATTGGATTCTCGCCATGGCAGGCTCTGCCGAAGGAAGGAGCTCTGTTGAATCGAGTCATCTAGACGAAAGATTACGCACCTGTCCAGTGATTGAGGCTCCATTTAACATGATCGATCCCAGCGAAGCTCCGTCGGGCACGATCTGGTCATCCAGTGTTGCACTCAAAATGAGATCACACATGACAGCCGGCGCAAGACACTATCATCGGACATCGGTATCCGCGCGTGCACAGAATTCTGATCTTCGTAGATAAGTCGTTCCACTGGTTCACTTTGAGCACATGCGTCGCGTTGGAAGAAGAGCTATTTCGAAGCGCCTTTCCGGAATGAGTGCCGGAACGGGTGAAAGTTACCACTCAGGGGGAGCACAGCACTCGCACCGAAGAACCTGACGCGAGACAGAGCACTAATGAATAAAATCTACTGGTCTAGAAACGATAATATTCTGCCGATAGAATCGTTCGTTGGACGCAGACGTCTGGACGGACTCGAAACGGAAGACTCGATCCGCCGCTTCACTGCCTGGTGTGCGACCACGACTGAAGACGGTCGAACGGTTTACGCGACGCCGAAACCGAAACCAGGAGGAGCCAATATATCTTGAGGGAGGCCCGAATCGTTCACGACTCCTCCTTCCAGTGGCTGACACGATGTCTGGCTGGTGGCTTGCCGGTCGTCTGACTGGCTAACTGGCTAGCTGGTTGGCTGGCCGGCCGGCTGGCTGGTTGGCCGACCGAGACGTTGCGGTAGTCGCGAGTCAGCCCAAGGAGTGCCACGAGGACCCCACTCAATGGATTTGTAGTTTATGACGAAGGACCGTACACAATGAATGCGGCACGTGTACTTCAGCAGGTCTGAGCGCGCTCCTTCCCCTTGAGACTAGGCGGGCAAGAACGAATTTAAACCGTTTTATGAATGATGAGCTTCTTAAGACCCGAAGATCTCGTAGTGGTAAATTCGGACATTACCCGGGGTACCTACGAAGGGAAGAGCGGCTAATACTGATTCGTTGGGTGGCTTGACGAAAGTTCCAAAACTACGAATAAACAGGAAGCCTCGGTCGAAGTTTATTGAGGGATCTAGGTAAGCTACAACGTTCACTCATCAAACCTCAGGACACGACAGTAGGGATCTCCGAGCTTGAAATGTTCCTCATAGCGGATTTTTTCGCTCTTTAGTGAGGTGTGGTCTTTAATACCAGCAGCTAAGGGCTTACTTCCACAACGGCTTCCCTCGACGAATTAACATTCCTCTTGCTTTCCTGCTGGTCTGAGGCCGTCTGATTCACTCCTGCCGAAGCTTGACGGTGCGTACGCGCCATCGAATGAGCGCTCATTGAAAATAAGCTCGGATGTCCATTTTTCGGCTTCGGTTGGGGCTCGTCTCCATTGGTCCGCTCTTCCTTAGACGGATCCCACGAACCTGTTGAATAAGACGAATTGTCTAGACGCGAGACATGTCTTTTGAGCGAAGAGTTGGACTGTCACGTATGGCAACAACGACTCTGCCTATGAGGCTGTCACTCGCGTTCGTCACATCGATAATAACTTATTAATTGCCCTACGAACCTATCTCCGCTCCACATACTCCATTGGACTTTGGAGGATAGGGAAGCATTGGGGAAGGCACAAGGCACAGGAATCGTAACGGCGCGCTTACTCGAAATTTAACATCCAGAGCAAGACCTTCGACCTTGTTCTTTTCCCCCAGAATCCACGAAGGGAAAGACGGTGCTCTCGCTCTCGATTTGACGGAACGGCTGGTGGATACGCACAAGCGGCCGAAGCGTCGCGAGGTCTTTCCGTATATCACCTGAGGGATGCATCTATAGTACCAACCTGAAAATTCGCGGATTTCGGACTCTTCTTCCGTGAGGTCTGGCGAATGCGAATCAGCCGAGGGTCAGACTGTTTGCGGAATTACGGAATCTAGAACTTCTCGTTTCCCTGAGACATGGGATACCGAGAAGCTCGATTTCCCTCCCGTGGAAACGAACGAGATCAGATCCATGTTGGATGAGCGTAGTCATACACCTTTGGGACCGAACGAGCACCGCTCCCCAGGAGATCCTGGTCCGGGAACAAGACGTCCCCACGGGGGAAACGTTCGGCGAGCTCGCGAACCGGAGGGGATTGACCCTGAACCATGCCACGCATGATTGGGACTCGCGAGTCCGGAGCGCGAACCGACTGATAGCGAGCCGAAGACTTCCGCGAAACTACGAGCACCGGGTCGATCACGGAGACGGAGGGCCGAATCAAGACGAGTTCTTGCTTTCGCGCGCGCGACATATCCGTCCCAGAATACTGCTGTGTTCCGGAGCGATAAACGAATCCATGATTAAACCGCAAAGTCCTGGAAAAGCGGGACTGAAGCATACGGGCAACCTGTACAATTCGCAAACTCTCTTGTTTCGAGACACCCTACAACATCCGTCTACAGCGGGATCCTCTTCTCGAACTTCTAGCGCTCGGTTACTCCTAATGAGCTTCCACCGAGTTATGTGTTCCGAATTCAAAAACAGCAACAGCGAGCGAAAGAATGTCAGGCATCGGCTTATGGCCGAAAAAGAGACGGACTTGTTCAATCGGGATGGATCATAACCACCTTACAGCGATGCCTCGTTTATTGAGTCGATACGATGAATGAGGAGAATAGATGGGAGTTATCCTCCCCCCGTCGTTTCCGAGGGGCTCATCTCCAAGGAAATAGCAGACAGTCCGGCGGAGAGGCTCGCCATCGGGACTCAGAACAAAAGCGAGTGGTCTTCAGTCCGAACTTGACAGTGGTGTCCCCCACGGCCCACGCGAGCGACTGCTCAAGTTATTCCCTCGCTTCGCGGCTCCGGAAGGCGTAAACGAGTGAGGATGTGCGTCTGCATTATGAAGAGCGGCGAAAGCAGCTTTGAGAACTCGCTCCGCGTGGCGCTCTGACTCTGAGGTCTCTCACGGGAAGGCCGTTGAGCTCCTCGGGGAGTTCACGGCTCAGAGGCGTCGAGGCCCCGGATGGCATGGGGACGCCGCGTCGGGATGACCCGTTCCTATCTCGGGCCCCAACCCGCCCCGAATTTCTCGAGAACATATCCATTTGATCGGATCGAAGGCTCGGGACTGGCGCTATGAGCGATTCCCGAGCTGGAGGTTGCCCTCCCCGCTCCCGCGAATTACTGGAGGAATAAAAAATCGGGAGTCTGGAGCACGCCTCGGCAGCTGATTCTGAAACTAGGATCGATCTACCTGACTGGACAGAGCGCCGACGGATCGTTTCTCTGCCCATGGTATCGAAGCCCTGATGATTCCCTACGATTCTCCCTCGTGACATCTCCCGAAGAATCGGCGACTCTCATTATGACGGGCGCTCCGCTCAGTGGAACCCATTATTCAATGAAATTTTATGATCGAAACCGGCGTGCGCGTCAGAACTGGGCGCTGCGAGTCGCTCAGTCTGAAGACGCACATTCGAAAGGATTTGGTATTTACAATCGTTCCGCCGAACTCGAATGCGGCTCGTTAATCACAGGAATTGTAAATATCGAAACAGATAACACAAAACCTGTCTCAGAGAGGCGCGATGCCGTCCAGATTGCTTATTTGAAAGGTGATCATGGGCCATCGACGATGAAATTTGAGTTTCATGGATGTCGACATCACTGAAAGGCTTCGCTTCTGACGCCACAGTCAGTCGACCCGGCTCGTCAGATGCGCAGAACAGACGAGCGAGGCTCAGAAAGCAGTATTGAATGACCGCCCACAGGAATCTTTCTGTCGATTGGAAGCTGTAGATCCCACTTCTACGATTCTGAAGAACAGGGTTTTCATCGATTGGCCATATAGTTCGCGGATGCCTAGAATCAGGACGCAGAAGATCGGAGACGAATAAATCGCTAAGTTTATTTTTTTGATGGTTCCAAGCGGTGGTGGCATGGTGTTTGAAAAAATGGTTTCTTTCTTTTTCTCTCTCTTGAATTTTTTCTGAATAAGTGGAGTTTACACATAACTTAATGAGGTGCGAAAAGAGCGCAAAAGTCACAAGGATGGAGGATCAGGACATTATCGTTTCCGCCTATGTACAAATTGATTCTGTCTACTTGAAAAGGACCGGTCGAAGGAGATTCGCTGTTTCTCCGTGTTTGGATAGACAATTCCGATACCAGCTGGACAGCTTCTCCAACTCGATATCAACCTACCTTCGATGGAGCATCCCAGCTCTGGGGTTTCAGCGTTGGGACGGATGATTCAATCCAATGAAGTGTCGTACAAGTTTAGAAATTTCAAAATAAAGTCCCTAAGATGTTTTGAAATGATGGTTCTAGATTCAGAACTTTTTAATCCTGTTGAAATTCGCAGCTCCGTAAGCACCACTTCCGAAACCATTCCTTGCCCCGCCGAAGCCTCCGAATCGGTTTGCACCGAAGCCTCGGTTACCGCCGAATCCACCACCGCTACCATATCGAGAGAAGCTACGACCGCCACCTCCTCCCCAACGAGCCATGTCTTCCAATTTGGGGTTGACATCTTGCTTGGCTTCCTTGAGGACTTGAACGAGATCTCTGGCTTGCTTAGAATCTTTCTTCGTGAACATCGTGAAGGCAGTTCCTGGAAAAAGTAGAGGAATCCCGTGAGTATCAAGGTATCGACGCCTCCTCGCCTCCTCGAGTCTTCTCGGAGTCATCGCGATAAACCATGTGGATGATCCAGCCGCGGACGGATGATGCTTACCAGTCTTGTTGGATCGTGCGGTACGACCAATACGATGGATATAGTCTTCAGAGTTGTTCGGATAATCATAGTTGATAACGTAGGCGATGTCATCGACGTCTAGAATATGAAAACGTCAGGCCCATTCTCAAGTGAACCCCTAGCCGAGATGGCACTTGGTCCGATGTTCAAACACTGAGAGTGTCCGGCGTGCTCAGGCGATACTCTCGTGACCTCGAGATTCCGCCCGAAGACAGATCGGTATTGAGACTCCAGTTCCCTCCTGCGTGCGACCGACTTCAGCAGATTCTCCTCTTCTTGTGCTCAACTCGGCTGGCTTCGACTTCGTACGCATCAACTTCTCCGCCACAACATCTCTGTTGCACAAGGCAAACGTGTCGAAAGTCGTCGAACCACTCGTGTGTGACGAAGCCTCACCGTGTCCCGTCCTCAACCCGCCCCAGTCCCTCCCTCCCCCCAGGCCGAGCCGCGACGGTTGAATCCAGCACACGTTTCACCGAAGTTGTTCACAGAAGAGGCAAGATACTCATGAGAAACATCGTCAGCATCCACCCGAAACAGAGATTGCTTCGAAGAGCCCATGCCGACCGAGGTCGTGCCGGCCCATCGGATGTCCTCCGACCCGAAGGACATCGACGGACACGCCGACGCACCGATCGACTGGGCCTGCAACTTAGGCAACAAGGCAAGCTTCTCTGCAGCGTACGCGATTCGCTCACCGAAGAAGGAAACCAACAACAGGGCGATTGGAGATACTACGTGACGTCACAACGAATCCTACTGTTCCGTCGGATTTCCGTGGAACTTCACTCACGGCCCGCAACAAGGTAACGTAAGAAGAGACAACCTACTACGTCGACGACGCAACTCCAAGTAGTTCTCCCCGTCGAATCCTAACCAGCCCTTTGTCGAGATCCTGTCAGCGTGGTTTCCTGCGTGCTTGCCTGTTTGCCTACCTGCGTGCCACGCGCGCGCTTTTGCGTGGTTCGATGCTCCCGATGCTTACCGTATCTGGTCGTTCCGTACGCCTTTAGAAGGCAACACGCAAGAGCGAAACAGGCCTGGCCGTCAGCCAGAGCCGATCCGGAGTCGAGTGCCGCCTAGCCCACCCATGCCCCCGTACTTACCCAAACCTCGAGCAGCCACGTCTGTGGCCACCAGAACTTCGAGACGCCCACAACGGAATTCTGGAGGGGACAAAACGCGAGTTTCAGAAATGTGGCGACGCGGAGAAGGGGAAGACGCTCCGCAATGATCCATCATCGAGTTATCCAAGTATCCTATTACTCACGGTAGAGAATTTTGTCTCGCTGAGCCTGATTTTTATCACCATGAATGGCCTGCACGCTGATCCTCTCTTTCCAGAGATGATCGGCTAGCTCATCGGCCGCCCTTTTGGTCGAAGTGAAGATTATAGTTTTCCTGTTACCGCTCCCCTGCTTCTGGATATCGCCGTAGAAGTCCATCAGTTTCCTGAGTTTGTCGTTCTCTTCGACGATTTCAACAATCTGGGTAATGCGGTGATTGGCGGAAAGTTCCAGAGATCCAATATTGATCTGAGCGTAGTCAGTCAGCAGATCCGAAGCGAGTCCTTGGACTTCTTTGGGCCAAGTAGCGCTCCACATCAGCGTCTGACGATCGGGCCTGATCTGACCAACGATCTGACGAATCTGGGGTTCGAAACCCATGTCCAACATGCGATCGGCTTCGTCCAGCACGAGGTAAGTGCAACGACGCAAGTTCGTGGTACCCGACTGCAGGAAATCGATGAGACGTCCCGGAGTAGCGACTACGATTTCGACTCCGCGACGGAGATCACCGGCCTGAGGGCCTCGCTGTGCCCCGCCGAAAACGCAAGTGGAACGAATGCGAGAGTCACGGCCGAATTCGACGGCGACTTGTTGAATTTGTTGGGCCAGTTCTCTTGTTGGAGCGAGAACCAGAACGACCGGACCGTCTCCGCGTTGGAGACGCGGCTGATTGTTGATGTGAACAATAGCCGGGAGAATGAAGCCCAGAGTCTTTCCTGAGCCCGTCTGGGCAATTGCCACGAGGTCGCGGCCTTGGAGCGCGATCGGCCAACTCTGACTTTGGATGACGGTCGGATTTTCGTACTTTTGAGCTTTTACAGCGTAGTCGACGTAGCTCGGAAGCTGAGCTTCGTCGAAAGTGAGGATCGGATTGGGAATGATTTTGTTCGAGCCTGTTCGCATGATGGTGAGCTGATGCTTGTCGCGCCACATGCGGATCTCGAGCGCATCGCGTGCCGCGGTCGTTGGATGCTCGCGATAGAAGTCCCTGGTGAAAGGCTCCAACTTCTCGCGAGTCCAGTCGACGGGACTCAGAGGCTTATTTTCCCTGTCCGTACTTGCACCCCACTTGGCTCGAGAGCTGTCCCTTGAGAAGGCTCCACGCGAACCCCCGCCAACACCGAAACTCCGGTGCTCATAAGGTCTGAAAAGAGAACACGTTACGTCAGTGAGATTCCGTAATTCGAATCGAGAGAAGACAACAGCCCGAACGGAGGATGATGAGAAGGGCGTTTGCCAACATCTGGATCCGAACTCGTCGCGTCGTTGGATCGTGAGTCGTGACTCATCGCTACGACGCAAGTCCGTCGTAGCGCATGGCAACGCTTCCTTGGAAAACTCCGGATTCGGCGAATCGACAGATGACGAAACTGAACGATGCAGCCGGCGAATTTGCCGAGTCATCGCACCCCGATCGGTGTTATCGATCGGACAGTTGACCCCGCGGAATCTCGCAGATCATGCTCGAATGCACTAGATCTGCACACGAGGAGTTAGGCTTCGGAGAATGATGGTCATGGCGGCCATGTTCTCGCACGATGACCCCGAGCATCACACGTGCACTCGAAAACGGCAGCGTGGCTGAATAAGGACCTCGTTCGCCGCGGAACAGAACGTGCCTCGACTCGCGGGGCATCGAGAATGCCCAATGCCTGCATGAGATCCGAGCTCGCGACTCAGGAATCGTCCGTCCCGGATCGAGACCGTGCCGAAGCGGAGGCAGTGGACCCGACCGAGTTAGGGATCGTCCGCGACCGATCGTCTAATCGGACGACTCGCTCTCGAAAAGTGGGTCGTCCTGTCTCACGCTGCCCCTGGACTCAAACGACGTCAATTACGGGATCGAGCCTGCCGAGAAGCGTCGAAATCTATCGGGTTTGAACGCCGCCATCGCTGGGAGCGTTGCCCTAACGTTATGCCTAACGCGAGGATCTAATACTCCAAACACTCTTTCTTGGGGTAAAAATCTCACGCTTTCGCGCTGTCGGGGGAACTTACTTGGGAGCGGATCCGTAGGTCATCTTTACGCCGATTGGAAGTTACGTTTGATGGAACAAATTACAATTTCAGCTCTCAACGAGGGATTCGCTGCCTTCCTCGAGGAATGGCTCAGAGCAAAGTGACGTCAGGTCGGCCATCTTCGCCGCAAGTAAGCCGCAGCCCGCCCAATTCAAATCGATAGCTAGGGCTTTTCGAATTTTCCGGAATGGTCCAATGTCGCGTGCATCTCTCGGAGTTCTGGATATGAGCTGATATTCTCTTATCAGGGAGAATCAGACTCTCGAAGCCGTGGAAATCGGCACCAGAGTCGCTGATGCAGAGCTCGGAGGGGGGAATCACTGTTTTGGCGGGAAATTTGAATTTTACCGTTGAGGCGCAATCGAGACATAATTCTCTCAGGCCTTCGAAAGTGCGGCACCCTGCGGGAGAGGCATCATGGAGACAGATCAGCCTGCTCCTGCATCGGAAGTGATCCGAGAACTCTTCGAGCATGATGTGAAACGATACATTAAGTTTGGCTTGTAAGTTCCCTCCAGAGCACGTTTGCTCTAATGATGGTTTGGTCATTTGTCCAACGACGGTCTGAAGTCTGAGCTGTGGTTACGCCTTCCCGCTGATGGAGAACTCTCTTCCATTTCAAGGGTGAAAACCACGGAACCCCTGGTCAAGGCATCCCATTCCGCCTCCGCCGACAAAATTCGGGAGCTAGGCAAGAAGCACTACGCCGTGTGTGCGAAGCGTTGCATGGACAGAATGAGTGAAATCTTTGAACAACACCGTATCCTCGAGAAGAAGAGAGAGCTCGATAAACTAGCCGAGCAGCAGATGAGCCTCGAAAATATGCCTGTCAGGTTGGTTCCGGAGCCGAGGGATGCGACGAATGCGCTACCGAGATTTTTTCCGTCACAGTTCGCGACCCGTCGCATATCCTACGGTGGTACCTACTCGGGTCTATCGATTAAAACCGGGTGTGGAAACATTTCCAGAAGACTCACTGGCTCCTTGAAGCACGATGTTTCCATCGTCGCGGACGTGATCAACACACGAGAGTTGGAGAATGACATGAAATTGTTGGACTCGTTGAAGAGAAAGCAGGAGACGCTAGTCGATCAGATCACCAGCGTGTCTAAGGGTGGAACTCCATGATCGTCGGTCCTCCGATCATTGTAAATAGTTTGTAAATAAATGAATGCTCCAGCGGCAGCCGGCGCTCGACTCTCCGAGAATCGGGAAATCATTGGGCACCTTTCAAAAAAGGTTCCGACTGCGTTTGAACGGAGCTGCACTACTTGCAGCATACGGTGGGGGGGGGGGGGGCGAAGTATGCCCGGAGCTTTCTGCATCCTAATCTACCTACCTCCCGAAGACACAAAGAGATAATCGTAACCGATTTATTCAATCTATACAGGATGCCTTCGGACATTTACATTGGCAGCCGTATTTACATATGCATTCGAAATATGGTCGTTGTTGTTCGTCAGAAGAAACCGGTGGTAAAAATAATTTGTTCATCCAGTAAATATATTTCGGTAAAATTCTTCCGTTAAAGGAATCGTCCACTACAGGCTTGTTATGTACTTCGGCGGTGTAACACTATATTTCATCGTGAAGCGTGATCGGTCCTTGTCGGCGACATTGTGACGTCTTCTCTCGAGGGAAGATTCAAGTGCTCGAGTTGCGGGATGCACGGCTTCGGATGATTTTGATTCGCGTGATCTTCTCTCAGAGAACGCAGGTAACTTCCCCCAAGCATGTCCCGTTCTTGCCATCGAATCCTCTGGTTCCGTGACCCTTCAATCGCGCCCATCGCACGATTCGTCATCGCGCCAGAGACTCACAAAAACGATCCGAAGGTTTAAGGCACTTGGATTCGAATGTACAGCTCCCGGAAAGGACTTCCACGTCCATCAACGTTCTTGCCTGTGTTCACGTATCAGCAGTCGTTGTCGAAGAAGCTGGAAATACAAAGGATTTGCACCGTCATTTCCTGATCGGGGCGAGAGTCTCGTTGCAAATTCCAGCAGCACCTTAATCCATAAAATATCTACGAGTTACGTGATTTTCATACCGTGCAAATCCATTGATCCGTCCGTATCCGATAGAGCACCATTGAAAATATATGTAGATTCCTAAAAATGACTTGACCGATCAATGCGAAGTTGGCGGCGTCGCCAAATGATCGATCTCCCTCTGCGCTTTAGACACCGACGTTTTGGCCTGGGGGGTTCTTTCACCGACTTCTTTCGCGAACATTTTCATTTTCTCTTGGAAAGTCAATTTCTCGGGTCCTACTGGGGGACTGCTCTCCTTCTGACTCTGTTTCGCGCTAATTATACGCTGACGAGGATCTCTGCAAGAAATATCGACTCTTCAGCTCTGGCCGAGGCATCATCGTGCGACGTGCGAGCGAACTCGTTAGGATCGGAGAATGCCGCTCGAGCCCGGACCAATGACTCACCTATAGACCTCTTGACTCCCTATGACGCCAGGCGCCTGAGGCGAGAACGTAAGTTGAGGCTGATTCAAAACTTCGTCGATGTCTTCCAGTGTGTACTTTTCCGCTTCCTGCGAATCTTCAACGATCCCCGATCGTCCCCCGTTGACGATTTCCTGATGCGGAGGTTGCTGCTGGTCCTGTACCTGATGATGTACTTGTTGAACCTGATGCAGATGTTGATTCTGTTGCGCTTGCTCCATTTGGACTTGCATGGCCATGTGGTTATGATAGTCGTCATTTTCCATCATTTGTTCGTCTTCTTCTTCCTCCTCATCGTAATAGTCGTCCTGCAAAATCGGTCGGTGAATGATCGGGCATCTAGGCCACTCGATGAAAGCTAAATGAAGGAACACTGGTTGAAGACTCCAAGTTCAAATACCTCATAGTTATCGTAGGACACTTCGAGATGAGTCTCATGGAATGAAACTTTCTTCTTCGCTGGAGGATTGCTTGGTTGCTCTCCGTGATTGTTATTGTTGTTGTTGTTGAAATTTGTGTGCTTCAGATTGCCCTTGCTGGGACTGTTCAGGATGCCTGCACAAGCGAGAGCATGTTGGCGACCCATAAAATTTCGTCCACCTCCTCCTCCTCATCATCGACTTCCTCTCCCTCGCTCGGACGGAAATGGATTCATCTGGATTCATATAATTTACGTACCATTAGAGTTTTTCAGAACGGATTGGAGAGGCTGGAGTCCCGTCGGCTGAGAGTTATTGTTGTTTGGCGCGGTCGGCATATCGAGCGGCGGCGGAGGAGATTTGGGCAAAGGTGGAGGGATGTCCTCTTCCTCTTCAGCCAGGGTAGCCTTTTTCAAGTTCGACGTCATTTCCTTGGGATTGGCAGAAAAAGCGGAAATTAGACGGGTGATCTCTCTAGATGACCAGATAACGGTATGTTATATCCAATAAGATGATTATATTCCCTCGTGCTCTAATAGCTAGTCTACGAACCTCCATCTCTTTTTGTTGGGCGGCTTCGCGTTCTTCCCGCAGTTCCTGCTCGCGCTTCTGTTGTAGCATGTGTTTCTGACGCGCTTGCTCGATGTTGTCCTGGATTTGGGAAATGCGTTCCCTGTCTTGGTGTCTTCTGGCAGCCAAATCTTCTTCGTCGTCCTCGTCGTCGCCTTCCATTGCTCTCCTCTGGAACTCGCTTTCCAGACGAAGACACCTGAGTCTCTCTTCCTGTTTTTCATCTCTATTTGGCATCGCTGCGAGCTGTTCGATCTCCTCGTCGATGCTAGCTCGAATTTCCTCACGTCGCTCGATTTCCCTTCGTTCCTTCTCCTCGCGATCTCGCGCAGCTTTGCCGAGAATCCCGTTCGGTGCCAATGGCATCTGCTGGCCGACACCTTCGTAGCGATCTTTGATTTCAACCTTCCGCGAAACCTCCGAACGGCTCTGAGCGGCTTGTTGCGGCGGCTGCTGGTGGGGGGTGGCCACGTGGGGGGTATTCAACGCGTCTGGATGGCGTTGAGCGTGAGCTCCTGGCTGCGATTGATGGGACGCTTGCGGTGCTTGTTGCTGGTGCGGCGCAGACACCTGTTGCTGCTGTCGCATTTGACGTCTGTGGACCTCTTCGCGCATCTCGTCCATTTTCGCGTCGGCCCGTAGTGAATTAGGATCGGCAGATCGCTCACCGCGGACGGTCTGTTCCGAAATCGTGGTCTCTTGCCATTGCAAGGTTTTGACTTGTCGAGACGGCGACGGTCCCCGGTTGGGCGGTATGTGGTTCTGATATTGGGGCGGAGCCAGGCCGTTCTGTGTTGTACGGGACTGGGACGGCGGGGGCATGTGATTGTATTGAGATAAAGGCGGTGGATTATATTGCGACTCCGGAATAGAGTTCTGAATATGATGATTCTCGTATTGCGCTACGTTGGGTCCCCCCATGTGCGGAGGCGGCGCCTGTTGCGGACCGTACGCACCCATCGGCGGTTTCATCGCCTGCGGCTGGTACTGACCATAGATTGCGCTCTGGTGCATATTGGCGGCCGGCTGCGCGACTTTTCCCGGCAACTGCATTCCCCCGGCCGGAACCGGTCCCCCGTACATCTGATGGGGCATGGGGGGCGCAGCGAATTGATTAATGTGAGCGCCCGGATACGGATGCTGCAGATGCGCCGCTGGCGCTTGTGACACGTTCTTCTGCTGATACAGCGATATGTTCTGGTAGACGCTCTCGCCGTAATCGTACTCGCCGCTCCTACGGGGCTGTTGATATACGCCGGGAGCGGGTTTCGGTCCCAGGGGAGGGGCGTTCGGATGCGTCTGGGGTCGATGGGGCATTTGTTGGGGCTGTGTCTGATGCTGGGGCTGAGCGGCGACCTGCGGCGGGAGTTTCGGTTGTTCGTAGTGGTTTGGCAAGGACGACACGCTCGCCGCTCGGCCGTTCTCGAATAGACCCTGGGGCTCGGTCATCGCTTGGGGATAACCTTGATTCGGGACCATCGGTGCTGGATAGTTCAGCTGCGGTACCGATTTACTCTCCTGGATTCTCTGTTGACCCATCGGCTGTTGATGCATGGACGACATGCTTGGCAGGGTGTGGGCGTTCCGGGGATCGAACTGGGACCCGGGATACTCGATTCCCATCCGTGAGGGGATGTCACGTTCGCTCACGCGCCTCACGCTCTCGCGATTCGTCATCGGGGATTGCTGGAGCAGCCCACCGAGGCCGTGCAGTATGGCGCCTTGCTTGGCAACCTCGAGACGAGCGACCTCACCGGTTCGCGTCATGAGCTGAGCTGCCATCTCCTGACTCAGACCAATGAGCGAGTGATTATCCACGCGCAGAAGATGATCTCCCGCTTGCAGACGACCGTCGAGATCCGCTGCCCCTCCGGGAACTATGCTCTTGACGTAGATTCCCAGATGCTCCTGCCCGTAGCCCTTGGCAGCTATGATGGACAGACCCATAGAGTTGTTGAGTTTCTTCAGGAACAAAATACAGATCTCAGGCTGCTGCATCGGAGCCTGCCGCATCTCGTGGCGCGCGGGGTAGCCGGGTCGCTGCTGCATGATCGCCTGCGGATGCGGCGGCGGCTGATTGTGGATCGGCTCCTCGTGGCCTCCGTTCGGAGGCATCTCCCGCGAGAAGGACGGAGCTCGCATGTGGATGTCCTGATCGGACATGTAGATCGTCCAGAGGCCGATCGATGTCGGCTGCAGCGTCAAACGGCAAAGCCCCGCGTTGGTAAGAGGCGCCAAAAACTCCGTCAGTCCGGGTGGAACGCCACGAATCGCTTCGCACGAGTACCCGTCTTCGGGAAGAAGGAACGGAAGCTGAAGATCCGGGTCCTCCTCCAATCTGACATCCTGCTCCGGTTTGGCCGCTTCTTGACTCTCCACCATTTTACAGATCTGCTCGACGAAGTGACTAGAGAGAGGCGGTTCTCCGTTCTCTACGTCGACCTGGTAGCGTTCCAACAGGGCTCGCAGCTGCAGCGAGTTGAGCTTGAAGCACGTCCGAGCTAGCTCGGCGGCGTATTCGGGCAACTTCTGGGTCTCCAGCAGGTGGGCCGCTTGGATTATTCGGCTCAGACGACAGTCCGCCGCCAATTCGAGACCTTCTTTCTCTGCCCACGTGACAACTTTCGAGAGACGCTTCTTCAGACAAGAACCCCAGAGATGATGACACATGTTGTGGTCGGAAGACGCGTTGAAAGCGGATTTGATCGTGGCGTTGAAAACCCACATGTTCAAGAAGTGGAACAACTGGGAGAACAGCTGAATGGTCAGGGCTGCGTTGACGCGGCACCTCCTCAACAGCGTCATGCTCCCGGACAACACGTTTATTACGTCCTGAATGGCGCCGTCCACATCGGTTTTATCCGTCGGGTTCCGGATGAACGGGGGGAGGGCGCTGTCCAGATCGGCCTGCAGGCAGCCGACGAGACTTCCGAAACAGAGACGAACGCCCTCAGCCAAGACGTCTTGTGCGTCGAGCGTGTACGCGGATAGATGACGGTCGTTCTTGAGGAAATTCAGGAGCTCGGACGCGTTGGCCAGCCAGAACGACAGGCAATGGACGCGGTGTTGCGCCATCGGAGCGGAGTTCGGAACCGGCATGTTGCATCGTTCCTCGACGCATCGATGAATCGACGACGCCACCTTGTTGATGACCTTGGTCAGACGTTGAGCTCTCTCGTTGGGCGAGCACTCCGGTCTGAAGTGAGTTGAAGCTCTGTATCTCGCCGCCATGTAGAGCGTGTAGGTCGGAGCCAGTTTGAATTGAACCTGAGCGGGATCCAGACGGCTCACCACACTGTCGAGGAAGACGTTCTCGTCTGCAAAAAGAGAGACGGATTATTCCACCGCTGCCCCAACAACATCTCTGCGACCGTGGAGATTTCTGACATACGCGGAGCGGACTCTTCTGAATCCAAGATTTCCCGGCAGCATAGAGAAACATGCCAGGAACTGATTGGAATGAGAGAAAATAATCACGCAGGGAGGAGAACTTCATCGACACTTACGATCTTCCCAGAATTCGAGGACTGCCGGCAAAATTGGATCTCTGAGCTGCGGCTGAGGATGCGGCACATGACTCGGACCCATCTCCAGTTGGCTGCCATCGCTGTTCGTCGATGGATGACGTTCGTTGTTCTTGGAGTCGTACTCGCCACTCACCGAGGCTGGCCGAGGGCCCATGGGATCGATCTGCAATCGCGATGTCGAACCGAGTTAGCACCCGCTTCGGTAGACGGTCGAAGAGAGTCTTTGACTCGGATTCTCGCATGCTAACTGGAAGCCTTCGGCCTGGGATGCGATAGGTGACCTTAGCCGGAGTCGTCGGATTATCGGTTTTATCGAGCGTGATGACATCGAGATCGAATGGACCAAAACAGCTCGAAATTTCCTAATCCACGTGCATATGATAATTCGAGATTGATGAGTTCCCTCTCGGAATTTCTCAAGGACGCTCCCGAGATCCCACCCAGGCGCTCGCGGTCCGGTCGGAGCTCCAGAACCTTCCGATCCACACCTCTGTCAGCGGAAGTTTCTGTTGCTCGAATCGAAAGCCCTGATCTCTGATCATCTGGACGACTGGACGCACAACCTACCCGCCGAAACAGATTACGTTCTTCGGGACGGAACATGTCCCCACAGTCGAGGTTTGTCTTCTCGTTTCATGATGAATGATGCTCTCTTACCCTTTGAGGTTGCGGATTCTGCATGGCTTGCGGGTAGGCCGCCATGGCGGGGTCGACGAAACGGAACGTGTGCAGCTGACCAAGCTTGAGGATCGCACCGTGCTGTAGAATCGTCGTGCTGCGTATTAGCTGTCCATTGAGGAACGTCTCAGCGTTCGGATCACCGCTGGGGGTCACCGTCACGACTCCGCCTGCTCAACACAGAGAACGAATATTTACTCCAAATTCGGTGAACGGGTTGAATCACAGAAATCGTGCCGAGTAGCAGAGTCGCTCTCCGCTCTCCACGCGTCCGTCTCGCATTGGAATCGTTCTGATTGAGAGATTCCAGCGCTTAATCCCTTGGCTCGACGCCTTCGCCTCTCGACCTATGAGCCGAGCATTGGCTGCCTGACCGAACGAGTAAACCGATCTTGGGAATGAGCAAATCGCTGGAAAAACTGGCTCTGGCCTCCCGGCTCGGTGGCACAGACACCTTCGGAGTCGGTTTCGATAGGTCCAGCTCGTCGAAGGCTTCGGAACACTCGACGACGCGGAGAAGACCTCGTGGAACTCGTGAAGACTGCCGGAGGAACTCACCTTGAGTGTGAGCGATGACGCAGTGCCTCGGCAGAAGCCCCGGCAGCTCGAGGCTCTGTTGATGTGGGGGAACGATGCCGCCGGCGCCACCGATCTCCGTCATATCAAGAAGCAATCGATGAACGGCGCCTTCCTCGACCGTTGATCCATCTGAAGTGTGGGGTGAACAACCAATATAGAAAACGTACATCGTTCACGATCATCGACGTCCTCTCCATTCTCTGCGTGAGTGACTGACTGACTGGCTGTCGCTCCGGACTATTCGCCAGTAGCTTGTTGGCTCGAGGCGATTTGTGTTGTAGTAGTATTCGTCGTTGGCGAATTCACTCGTTAGTTCGTTGCTCGTCGGCCGACTCTCTCACCAACAGCACACCGCCACCAACACAGCTACCACACTTATCTAAACAAACTCCTTCGAGCTCGATGATCCCGGACCAGCAGCCACCAAAGCTGTCAGAACCAAGCTCGACAGAACTGGATCGTCAACAACTGTTCGGACCTTCATATTCCGAACCAGATTTCGAGGGAAGTTATTTCTTTGGGTAGGATGCGATTCAGAGGACGCCGGATTCCTTCAGGTTCTCGAAATTGATTCCAAGTCTCGTCTGGCATCACGGTCCCGGAGTTCGAGCCCGGGCCTTCAAATCAATCGATTCATCCCGGAGTATCTCTGTGCCTCTCTACCCTAAATGTACGCAACAGGTTCATGCAGATCATACGGGCATGATTCGAAGCATTCGAAAGCGCAGAATGAATCGTTCAGAGCGATGAAATGTTTACGTTAACTTGACCGATGAGCAAACACTGAGCGCGGCTGCTTACCGGGCGAAGCACGGATCTCTTGCAGGTACGGTAGTTTGTCAAGACTCATGCCGTCGGGCAATTGAGTGTTTTTCGTTTTCTTCTTCCTTTTGCGAGGCTGATAGTCGTGAGGTCGACGTCGGATGTGGAACGACAGCGTTCCTTTGAGTCGATTATGCTGTCTTTCTATGGCCAACGGGCAGTCGTCGTCGTCGAGAATATATTCTTTCACAAGGGACGTGTCCGTCGGGAGACTCCCGTCCGCCGAACCGTTCGGAGGGTGCTGAACGAATACCTGAAATGGCGAGACATGACATTTTTCCGAAGGGAGGAAAAAATCGACCGAAACCGAGTAGAGGGACTGTATTGGAATTCAAATCAAAGCCTACGGTGGGCGCTCTGCCACCGGCGAGCGACATAACCGCTCACGTAGAGCTCCCGTTTACGGGATGAATTATTCAGATACCCGAGTCGGATAGCTGCGGCGTGACGCGTCGCTCGTTTCGCCGGTCGCTACGTTCGTCACTTGGATTTTTTCCTCATTACCGACGATCCCTACTGAGCCCGGAATGAGCTCGAATTCCACGAGACTAAACTTACCTGAACCAAGCAGTACTTCACCGGGTCTTCGTTGACCATTCCGTACTTCTCGAGAATTTCGCGCACCACATGAGCGGCGGAATCTTGCGTGGACAGCAGCAACGTTTTGTACGGCACGTCCTTATTCAGACTCTCTCCGAAAATCCTCAGAGTTCCTCCGGCGCCCGGACCGCAGACGGCGCTGCTGATACCGAGGGCAGCGCTTTCCTCGCGGAACTGTTGGAGTTTCCGTTCGAGCTTCTGCTGTCGTCGTCTGCGCATAACCGCCTCTGCATCGAAAGAGAAAAATCGATTGTTAAGCATTTTCATCTGACAGACAAACCGAGTCGGTCTTTCTCCAGCTCCTCCGGTAGAAACCACAACATCTAGCGAGCCGGCTTCGAAGCTCGGATGCTCCGCGGGACCCCGGTCGTCCATAGAGCCTTTGAGGCAGGGCAGCCAAGAGTTCGAACAACCGTTGTTGTATCACTCCGAACACTTACTACACAAACAAGACGTGTTCACTGCGAGTCGACGCATACTGACGAACTGGAGGCTCCCGGGAATTATTCACAAACAATGTTGGCACTTAACGAAAGTTACGATCTGACGACGCTTCTACGGTCGCTGCGAGTCGGTTGCTCACGCGGCGGCAAGCTCTATCTAACCGGTTGGACTCGGTATTTTCGACAAAGTAGACGATCGTCACGTTCCACGGAGTTCCTGATCCAGCGTGCACAACACTTTCCCTTCTCGAACTCTTTCACTCGGACGGACGGGAAACAAACAAAGAGCGCAACGGTCGAAAAACGTCACAGAAGAAGAACATCGCATTTAAATAGCGTGTCTCTTTTCCTCCGCTTGGTAGCGTCACGGCGAGCTGACCTCGCCATCTAGAAATTCCGCGACGTTGACGCCCTTGTACACAGGAGCAGTCGCTCACTACGAGCAACGTCACTGCTCGTGAGCTGAGCGATCGACTGAACTTCAGTCACTCGACGAGAACACTGGGATCAGCGAAGATTATCGGTGAGGGTCGATGCCGACTCTCCGGTTGTCTTAATTCGATCGGCTCGAGAGTCGGTGTACAGCTCCGACATCTGTATACAGGTCTATCTGTTTGGGACCATCTTAGCGTTCGCGGGTGCGTGTCTGTGGCGAGGTGAAGAGATTGAAAGATTCCCCCGACCTGACTCACTCCCTCACGAGGATCGGTAGTCGGCGTCCTCATCGCTTTCGACTTCTCCGAGAAATATGCGATATCGAATAGCATCGGGAAGCGGAACTTCCGTTTTTCCCCTCGGGTCGAGTACAATCACCCTCGAGTCCCTTCTCTCCTTCGATAACTTCCTCCGAGCTTATTAGGGGGAGCGGAGTTTATCGTCATCGGTTGGTCCCTTGCGAGCTCAGAATTGGAGGAACGAGAATGGAAAGAAAGGTGAATCGATTCTGAATGCGTCTCCTGCCCCTCTTATTGAACGTTTCGATTCTGTCAAGGGATCGGGACGCATTCTCCGCGTCTCGGCAGGCATCACATATCAGGAATGTCTCCGCTAGAGTGAACGGCAACGAAATCTCTATAATTACACCACTATTGAACGATGATTGATCAAACAATGGCCAAGCGGAGGGCGGGTTATCCATCATTCAATTTGTCAACAATCGATATCGACTGGGTGAGTTTTGCTCAAGTACTAACCTGGATTGGAGATGCTTCGAGTGAAACTCGTTTCCGGCATTTCTGTGTAGAGTCTCTGGGCGATTTTCTCGTCGCCGTTCTCTTTTATTTGCGATGCGGACTCGGCTTGTTTCTTCGCTAGCTTTTTCTTCTCGCGTTTGGACATGCGTTTCTTCTGGAATCGCAGTGAGTTCTCTTCGTTGAGACGAGGTAACTGAAATGAATCGAGCTTGCTGTCAGTTAGGTTTTCCCCGCCCCGGCGCCGCGAACATGTTCCTTAAAGATGTATGTACACTGAGTCTTCGTTTCCTTTTGTCTTTACCCAGGTGTTTTTGTTTTATCATAGACCGGAGGCACAGTTAAGAAGCTCAGTCGCTCGGGACGGCGCCCACAAAACATCTAGCGCGTTCAGGCGCGAGCTGCCAATCGTAGTGGATATAAATTCTTCTCTCTATGTCGATCGATTATTCGAAAGCTCGCGCAGGGAACGATTTCTTCGCCCGGATTCTTCACGAACTTTATCTACGGCCTGCATTACGCTCTACGATCTCTTGCTTTCGGGACGGTTCGTCTCTTTTCGGCGAGAGCTGTCGTTCCGATGAGCTGAAACGTTTCTCGGCGAAACCGTGTGACGTCAGGGATCATTTCCGCAACAACCTGAACACGAGTGCCAGCTTCCCCGGTCACAGTAGGGAGGATCGTGGGCCGCCTAAAATGGGACCGCTACGGATCTCGCATCCGGACGAGCGGACTCCGCATTTCCTCGAATCCCGAGAGCGAGGTGTGTAGTTTCCAAGCGACATGGTGCATTGGAGAACTCCGTTGGAAGGGAGGTCACCGTGCTCCGGACGGGAGGTTTTCCAGAATCGCCGCGATTAGTGAGCTGACAGAATCAGAACTCGATGCCACATCGATAGGAAGTTTTCATTCTTTGGAAAAATAATGACGACCGCCCCGATCCCATCGCGAGTGAGCCGTGTCACCGATGACAGCTTGTGCAAGCGACGCAGCTCACTGCATTGGCTGACCCTTTCGTCTCGAGCCAGCGATCGTTGGTAAAGCATTCGATCCGTGGTCCTGGTTACCTGCTCCTCATAGACAGTGAACGCAGCCGCCGCCTGCGAAACGTCCACCATACGCACTATCAAAGTCCGCTTAATCCGAGGCAGCGATACTCGCCTTTTATAGAATCGTGTTCCCACGATCGGGTACGATATTTGCGCTGATGTCAACACCCGCCCTAAATGTATTTAATCGACAGAAATAAATGAGCGTGGGTTCCAGCGATAGGTAAGCCACAGTCATCAGGCAGACGGGATATCAAAGCAGCTCTCCGGAGCATATCGAGATACAGTAAAAGCTCGTTACTACGAACACGAAGGGACCGACGAAACTGGTTCGTTGTACCGAGTTTTCGCTGTAACGAATGCCGCTCAACACTATCCCTATGGCGAACTGGCCAAAGGAGGAGAAATTCCTTGTTCGTTGTACCGAGAAATTCGTTGTAATGGGGGTCGTTATAACGAGCTTTTACTGTAGATCATTCGCCGGAAATATTTGTGTCGTCTGGATGTACTCACGTAGCTCTTAGCGTCCATGCGTCGGAAGAGGAACCGACCCTCGCGATCGTCTTCATGCCATCGGAGTTGCACGACTAGCGGGCGCTGATCGTCCATGAGCTTTCTCTCATCGCCGTTTTCGTGGATTTCGTAGAGCGCATACTGCGAGTAGTCTGGAGCGCTCAACATCCGGATATCCGGCCGGAATTTCTCTATCAATGTGGGAACCACATCGCGGACGGTGGCTGAACTCGCGACCCGGAGACATTTCGTGACTACTCTCTGGTCTGCATCTTGAAAATAGAATCGCATGACTCCGTGGAATTCCAAGTCCTGAAACGAAATGAGAGGAGAATTCAGTTTTCTTATCGAGGGATATTTCCATCGAATCGCGCCCGGGAACCATGGGTCTCCCTTCCGGAAGTTCATCCATCGGTAGAGTATTATATATGCACATGTTGTGCATGTTGTATTTCAATAGCAAGCGACGAGAATTCTCTCCGAATAATTATCGTGCTCCGATTCGATCACATTCTCCCGACCCGGTCTGCGGGTGAGACATCCGATGCCTCCATCCACTTAGCGGTAAAACAGCTTTCCCGTCGCCTTCATTCCATTTCTATGAGTGAAGCGCTAACGAGGCTTTTAGCGGCGCGGCGGACGATGCCGGCTCGACGGTATGGCGGCGACGCTCATCTACGGTACGGCATCGTTGTGAGCGGTGGTGAGTGTATTTCAATAAATGAGTGTTCGCTGCATCATCTGCATACGATCATTTGTAGCTCAGCATATTTCTGGCCCGTCGACTGGGCGAACGGCGGCGCGGTGGCAGGAGTTCACCACGCCATCGTCGTCGCTGTCGTCATCGGTTTTCCCTAAATTGGTTTCTCCCCATTCCGTGCAGCGTATAACCCAGTTTCTTCTTTTCGATTCTCTTCAAATTTCTCCAAAGCCGTTTGTGAGGATTGCCGCTTCCACGAAGGATGCGCGAGTGGTAGGGCGGGCGGGCAGGCAAGCAAGCAGACAGGCCGCTGACTGGCTGCCGGGCAAGCCGACGACTGAATGACTGTGTGCACTTGGGCATCACTTTGCCGAGCGATCTCGTTCAAGAGCCGTTACTGCATGGACTACAAAACCACTGACAATAGCACCAGCGTAACAGCGATATTCAAGATTTATCCTTTCGAAACGGGGCGTGGAAAGTGATTATGATGATGGTGGCGACGTATAAGTTCGGCACCCGAAGCTCACGGCGCATCTTAAGCGTTTCGCCCCGTCGCATCATATTTTCCCTTTAATTGCCTGCAGACACAAACGGTCGGTCGGCTTTTCGTCCAGAAAGGCGGACATCATCCGATATCGACAATCACCTTCCCACGACCTCGTGAATCACCCAAGACCAATGCGGAACAATCGTCTTTATCGAATATTCCTATTTATTTCTAAGCTTGACCACCTGACACCAGGCGAGTTTTTGGCCGAATCAGCTCCGTGATTGACTCGAATATTCGCTCGCTCCTTGAGAGCGAATTAGAGCCGAGCAACGAACCCTCCCGACGGGACTCAAGCGAAACCATATTCCGAGCTCCTGCATGCGTGCATGCATGGTAAATGGTAACTATCGGACAGCTCGATGAACATTGGTGATTAGTCTTCAGATCGATTTCCACCAAGCTTTCGGTAAATGACCGTTTATCCAAACATCGCCAGTCATTACCGAGCTGATTTATTGTATTTAACCTACTCGTTCCAGCTGCTCCAGACAGAACCTGTCGTCATCGGATCTGTCTCGTCTCCGGAATCAATTGGTTGCTCCCGTCTTGAGCTCTGGAGTCGGAGATGTACTTCCACCCGAAGACGAATCGAGACCACTCGCTGCCTTCGCCCCCTAAAATTGATTCCTCTGAATAATGGGTCCAGAAAAGAGGGAAATAATTCGGAGCCACTCGGAGCAGCGGCTGCGGCCGGACTCGCATGGCGGCATCCAGCGAGTCAGTGTCGACTTCGGCGCACCGACGAGTGTGTGGCACCACCATCGCGGCAGAGACGCTAGCTGACTGACTGACTGGCGGTATGGATAAATCCAGTCCGAGGTCAATGTCCCCTTCCAGATGATTCTCTATCCCAGTTGTGGTCCGCAGTTTTCGGTTCAGTCGGACAACTTTGTCTTCTGGACACACTCCACTCAGTCGAACGGATGATGTTGGCTCCTGCCAACGCCGCTACGTCCGACCAACGTCGATCGGACATCCTAGACAACATCGATTGGATGGACGCTACGTCGAGTTCCGACATCGCGTGAGGCCTCCCGTATCTTCCTGACCGATTATGTGTCCTGACGACCGTAAAAACTCGAATATGTGATCTTTTCTCCGTTTTTTCTGCGTCTTGTCGAGAGCTCGCGAGATTCCCGACACCCCGAGCTTGGAATGCACGACCGTCGCCAATCAGCTGAGCAAGGAACAACAAGATAGCTCAAATGACCGACCGCCTTATCGAAATGGCCGGGGCTATGCCGACAGTAAAATCTCGAGTTCCACACCTTCGATTCCGGCCTGCCTTCCGCTGGCAGTCGAGTCGGCTATGTCTCGAGTCTCGACCTTCCAGAGGCGATCGGTGATCGAGTCATCCACGGGAACAGCGAGGAATTCTGCTGGATCGGCACGATCCTTTGTCGAGCCGCTCATAGGCCCATGGATACCGATGGTTTGGCTGTATGTTTTGCTTTCGAGATGCGAGATCACGAGCCAGACCGGGGATGTAGAACGCAAATCCTTTTCTGTAGAACGGCTGATTCCGATGAAGAACCTTGCGAAATTCCCCCGAGGATCAGAGAGATACCCGCTGCAAGAGTCTTCCCGCCGGGGAGCTCCCGGGATACGTCATTCGAATGGCGACGCCTTCGTTATTCCCATTTCGACGAGAGGAACTCTCAGCAGTGCAACGGCGCGTAGGCCATGCGGCTCGCCTCAAGGCGGAGCACGTGTCCTAGTGGTTACTGTTGAAGCTGTGGATCGCCGTAGGCGATCTGAGTAAATGAAATATCGGAGCCGGAAGGAAGCTAGCGAGCGAACCATCGGTCAGAGTCTTTCGGATTCTGATTTTCGAATTCGTTTCTCGAGCTCTTTCGTTTGAATTCCTCCCCGTCCGTGACAAAATTATCGTCAAGGGTTTACCTAGTCTACTCAATGAATGAAGATGCCCACGGACCGGACGGAACGTTGAATGACATTTCGTCCGGGCGTTGCTTCAATGACTAGTATTAAGACATCGTGGTTGCAAAACACGAGCGAACGAGCTAACATGGTCACGATTCGACTAGCTCGCCGCAATCACTTGTGAGTGACTGCCAGTCAGAACGATGCTTGAGACTGATTCAGAGCTTCGGTGTGTCAGATCCGGCTAGCGGAGTACGAATGAATTTGTTCGAGAGGCTGACTCCTCTACGAGGGCACGATTTTCTTGGACCTCGAAATGAGCTCTCAAAGCTCGAGCTCAGCCGGGGCCCCCGGAAGGAGCTCCATCACCGTCAAGCGTTTCAGCTTCGTAAACGTTATTGGTCGGAATTCCGCAGGTTTAACCAAGATTCTGGGAAAGGAGGTACGGGAGAAAAGCTCCTCACGGTACCCTGGTATCACGCACAGCCTGCAAGGATCATGCGAGGGACTCTTCCGATCGGCGACTGGGAGCGATGCGGACCCTGACGGCTCCGACTTGGGCATTTCCGAGAATATGGGCCGAGCAACGATCGAACCACGCAATATAAGTGGACTGACAGCGGAGGTGACAACGCTCACCGTCGTCGACGATGTGTCTTATTGTCGTGGAGGCCACTGGCAGAAGTCTACCAGAGGCGGCTTGAATTTTGCGGGCGAGCGTTGACTGCATCCTGCCAGTTCGGCTCGTTGGCAAATGGTGATGGTAACGACTTGCTGGTGGTCTTAGCTTGAATGAAGCGGTTTAGAACACGAAACCGACAACAACTCCATTCATTTGAGAACACAGTGAGCGTTTTCTTTTCCAGACTGTTTAGTTCAGTCAACAGCAGCAGCAGCAGCCCAAAAGTTTCGTTTGTCGTCATTCATGCCGTCGCTGGAGTCGAGAACGCTGCCGGTGCCGTCGACGGCGCGGCGTCGTTGTCGTCAATAAGCCGAACGAACGACTGGGATCCATGGGAACTGATGAGAGTAACGCGACATGAGTGCATCCCGTGGAGCCTGGGAAACGCTAGATCAGGTGAAGCCATCAATCTGTGAGCCTAGATCCCGCGAAACCTCGATCCACTTTGACATAACAATGCGAGAACGTTCTCTCATTCACGGGAGAGCCGTCATCGTCGTGAACGGCACAAAATCACGTCAGCGAATTGTTTCAAGATTAGGGAGGCGACTGGCTCGGTTTTTCCGGTTAATTACCATATGCACACGTTTCTAACAGCGTTAGGGGAACGTGGAGAACTCCTGTGGGAAGTCTGCACCGAGTTGACATGAATGTCTAGATTGGATCATCTGCGGATGACACTAGTAGACTCCGCAGATCAGCACCGACAAGTTATTATAATTACTATTAGTAGTATCGTAATTTTTATCGATGCTTACAGAGGAGGATTTCCATCGAGCAGCAACTAATGTCGCATCGGAACTGCTAATTGATTATTTCTAGCATTCTAATCGCAGTAATTTTGCTCTCTCCACTGCCGGAATGTATTGCTGCTATCCGTATACTTCTCGGTAAATTAATTTTGTCTGTAATTTCGGGAAAGTCCATGGCGATTGCGCGACAGTCTCTTCATACAATTGTCCGAATCAGAGCGAAAGAAGTTCGAGTATAGGGTTCGCAATGGAAGCATCAACGTGGTCGCCTATTTCTAGATTCCAACAGTTATGCCTTCCGGAATTTCCCAGCGAGAATTTCACCGAATCAGCATCAGGGGAAGGTCCCCTCCGATTTGCTTATTCGAGCTCCCGCGTCGATCATTATCGTGCAAGGCCCGGACCGTATGGGGTCGTCCGCCCTCTCAGTATCAGCGATCGTAAGAGCGCGACCCAATTGACGGGTATTAACCTGTTTTACTCGAAGGACTCGAAAAGCCAGCCAGTCAATCAGTCAGTCATTGATGCACTCTGAGAAGGTGAACGGATGGAATCAATAACCGATCTCTTCCTCCAGCGCCTCTGACCGAGCTCGTCGATCGGAAACCATCTCCAATCTCCACCATGCTGTTAAGCAACGTTAGATTGCGGTAAGTGTCACCGTAGTCGCTCTCTGGCCGTTCATGAGCGTCAGCGGCCCCGACGGCTCCGACGTCGTCGATCGGAACCGCGAAGGTGCACAATTTGTACGGAGGAGCAACAAGCAGGTAGCTGAGCGACTTCAACGGCAGCGAAGCTTCAGGTCACCGCCGAACGTTACGGGGTGTGTTGTTGCCGACTGACTGACTGACTTGTGACTGGCGCTTGGCTGGCGAAGAGGCAGAAAGCCGGGCAGGCTTGTTGGTTCTAGCGTCCGCTCGCTTCCTGAAGAAACCGTCGCTCCGCTCGTGGATTTGACGAAGTCCTCAGAATACTGACACGCCGCACGGTGAATCCGAATGTGCAAGAACCAAAGCATGCGCTGTTTCCTGCTCTACTCGGAACATACTCATCCATCAGTGCAGAATTGAAGAGTTTTATTCAATTTCATTATCTGAAGCTCCGAGCTGCTTGATTCAGAAATGAGGTTTTCGTGAGCGCTGACCTCCGATCGTTATCTATGTGGAATTCTCCACCCTGTCGTCCCGGATCGCCGGGAGCGAATGGTTCTCCCTACCGGATAAAATTGGAATCCACTTTTCCATAAGAGCCCTCAAACTGCTGATGTCCGAAAATAGTGTCCTAAAAAAAGGACACCGGAACTTTCTGGCACTTCTTCGTGAGGGATTCCCATTCGGACGCCCATAAACGGAACGGTAACAGAGCCGACAGCGGCTTGACTTGTGGTGTTTCAATGCCAACAGCGATTTTCGACTCTTACGGCGGAATTGCACGAAGTGCTCGATGCCCTCGGAATTGGACCATAGACGACATAGCGAGGAAAACGGGAACAGACTTTGACGAGGCTAAAATGGATGGGATCAGCTCCCCGACGACAAGCCCACCGACAACAGCGGCGATGGGTCGGTGACCCAGCGGAAGGAAAAGTTGCTGAAAACTGAGATGGATGTCGGAAAATGCTTTCTCGCGCTTGATCTGCACTGAGCCGTGAGAGGTGAGAAGTGTTCTGTCGGAGCAAAAAGGCCGCACTCGCCGCAGGAACAAATCTGTCAGATGAATACCGCTTTGCCGCCGAAGACGAGCGGGAAAACCGCATTTCCTCTCTACGATGTGTAAGGGAGCGCGTTTCTCCCACGGCTACACGAGACACTGGATGCTGAGCGGCATGTCGATTCCTCGGGGTTCAAAACGAGCCCTTGCCTGACTCTTGCGGTTTCCGAGTACGCGGAATTCATGGATCGACGCTAGACATGGTTGGAGACCGTCGAGACGGCCGCCTTTCGAATACATCGGAATTCTTAGGGTGGAGGGAACAGCACTAAAAGCCATTGCGATTGCAAGTTTCGGTTTCTCGTAAAAGGTGCGTCAAACGGCCCACGCAGACTAGAATAATTCCTCTGTGAATGCTCACGACGCGACGCTATAGCTGGTCGTGTCGACGTATAATCCTGGCGTCATAAAAAAACGATCTGGGTCCCTTTTTCCGGCCGGTCCTTGTTGAAGCAGATCATAATATTGAAAACAGTTCCAGAAGTGACCACAAATTAAATCACAAGTCGGTCAGCTAACCTGCTCGACACACAGTCGAGTAACTGACTGACCAGTCGAGCAACTAGCCAAGCAAGAACCCAAGTTGTGAATGGAAAAGTATTCCGCTACTGCGAACCAACATTATCCCAGAAGAATGTCAGTCGAACCACTGGTTCTGTTTCGGACCGCCGCCGACACTGCCAACAACTCGATTTGCCTCCGCATTAGAATTCGTGTCTTACAGTGCCGAACCGGCGCGGCGTTCGGAATCGTCCGGAGTTACGCCGAGCAAAGGAATGTAACCGTCGAGTCAATTCATGAGTCCTACACGCAAGTCACGCTTAACGTTGAACGAAAACAATATGAAAGTCCAGCCACCGAGAGAAGACCGTCGCATCGCCACTTGACCGCGTCACGTTGGCTAAGCAGTAAATCCGAGCGTTCCTCTCTGGAGCATGAAACCTCCGGGAAAACGGGGCATACATGACAATGCCGCCCTTGGTCAAGCAAGAAGATCCGTTGTCGGGAATGAAGATGAGAGCAAACTTCCGTGGATGAGAAGAATGAGTGAAGACTCCAAAGCCTTACTTCGTCAGCTCCTCAAAGAATCTCGGGAAGAAGTTCAACAGGTGCAGCGGAACCGAAATATGAGGCGATTTGCCATCCCTTGCCGGGCTTCTCGGAGAATTCTATGATTCCACGGTCTCTCAGAGAGCCCTACGATGATATTCCCAGATCGTCTCAAAACGCATCCGGAAAGCCAGCAGCTCGGCTTTCGGTACCTCCCAACGTAAACATACAGCGAAGATCTCTCATCGAGCATAATCCCTTCGTCATCGGAGCTCCAGAGCAGCGTCTAGAATCTTCGAATCGGGTCCCTATCCTGGAGACTTTGTCACGCTCGCTGTCACGACAGAGTTCTCTATTCGATTCTTTAGAGTTCCGAACTTAGGCGAAGTCCGTCAAGCGTTCCCAGGTGTCTTTCGGAGTCGCTCATTTTAAAGCCCGCCTAAAACTCGACCTTTTGCCGTACTGTATTGGAGTGTCGATCATCGAGAGCGAAGTAGCGACCCAATGGTGTAGAAGAGACTTCTACGATCGTTTATGATAAAAAAAACAATATCTCCAGAAGATAGGAATAGTGCTTCGTCGTAATTATGAACCCCGTTCCGAGAACCGGGCGCCATCTTGTAGCATCAACACCGGGCAACAGTTCCATAGAGTTGTTTGAAAGTTCTAAAACTATCCGAGACGCTTTGACAGCTCTTAGACAGTCGGCAAAGTTGAGCGGCTGAGGTCCCTGCTTCATTTGCGACCTACCTCGTTTGGTTCCGAGAGCGCGAACAGGTCTAACCGATTGGCATTCCATTGTGATATCAGGCTCCTCAGAGCTGAACGCTCTTCAAGTCGTTTGTCAAACTCTACAGAAGTCATTCTATTTCTTCGCGGCACAATATATCCTACGGAAGTGCACACAACTGTTTTATTCAGGCAGCGGAGCGCATAGTTTTCTTTTAGAGATCGCCTTCCAAATCACAACACAGAAAACTTTTCAAACATGACAATAAAACTTGCTCGCAGGCAAGCAGGCTCACTCGCTCGCCAACCAGCTCGAAGCAGACACCACCACTCTGGATCCCAAGCAACACATATACACGGCTTCTTCTTATGTCGCCTCGAGTGCTCGCCGATTGGTTCGCAACAGTCACGTGGTGCCCGATGCCGTGGCGTAGTCTCCTCATAGAAGCCTCACCGATGTGAGCACCGTCGCCGTTGTTGCTCAGGGAACGATTGACATCGGATTCGAAAACAGATTCGGGACTCGCTCGGAACGTCGACTACGTTCGGCGTGCGGAATTGGAAGGGATTGTCGAGAAAGTCCGAAACAGACGAACTCCCGGAATCGTCGCCCGGCATAGAAGGCTCAACAGGTGAGTTCTGTACTGCTGCTGGAGAAAGAGTCCTCTTCGCCGGCAGCAGCAGCAGGTGAGAGCTAGCGGCGGCGGTGGTCGGTCGCCGCTGCGAGCATGAAGAAGAAGTATCCGCTCCGGAAAGAAGGACGCGCATTGCGGCTTTGCTGGTCACAAGTGTGTCACTGGTTTGTCGGGGGAGGTATAACATGAACGGACACCTCACGAAGCTCCTGTCACTGCTCATTTCCATACGGAAATTCTCTTCTCCGGCGCTTTCCGCTGGGCTGCGAACAATACGGACCACCTCCCTCCCAAAGTCAGATTACGAGTGCATGATATCAATTCTCCAAGGGCATCTGGTCAACCGGAGCCTTCTCGAGAGCCTACCGGGTCCTTGTGCAAGTCCCAAACCGTATGCAGAGGCTTATCCCCGCGAACAATTCTACGAAGATCTGGGGATTAGGATGAATGCTCTCCGGAACGGACTTTTTCCTTTTCCCTGCTCTCCAATTCGTGACTCATCTTCACTCCTTCTGGAGATTTTGGAATCGGGCTGATGTACGGCTTTCCTCCCCTAAATCATACGCTCTTCTTCGGATGTTCGAAGCAACGAAACAAACCTTCCGCGGGAAATTAAGGACTGAGGAGGTGGTCCCTCAGAATATTTGATGATTCTTTTCGCGGGCAAGGGCGGGGACCTAATAGGGGAGACTCGAGGGAATATCAGAAGCATCTTTTTAGATCTCAACGAATTAAGGTCATTAACGCGGAGAGGTCGCGATTGGTGAAGATGGAGGAAGTCTTCACCTCTCAGGGGAACAATTATCTCGGATATCCAGTCGAATGATTCGTGGTTGGAATACTCTTCTCTATAATTATTGTACCTGCATCGATGTACGTGGCCAGGAAAAGAAGGAGAAAGTGTATCGAGATCGACATGGATGTTTGATTCAAACGCTTGGCGAAATATGTATTCCCGAGTTGGTCTTATGTAAACAAGAGTTCTCAGCGCTCGCAGGTGGGCGCGCTCAACCTATCGAAATGGTGGACTTCGCTGAAGCGTTCAGCTGAGAAACTAGCGGTTCTGATCGCTCCCGAGAGCACTGAAAATACGGCGACATACACAGCAAGCTGGCGTGGCGCCTCATCAGTCCACGTTTCCGCATTAACAGCTGCCCATGGTCAGGCAGACTTCGCTGAGTATATCTGATGGCTGGAGTTTGCCTAGTGGCGCTCATCCGACGTCTGCATCGATGATGAGAGAAGTCTTCGATTGTCTAGAATGCCCGTTTTCTTTTTCTGCTCCCGGAAGCGTCTGAGAAGTTTATTCGGGATAACACAATTCGTCAAAACAGGAATCGAAGCGAAAAATCGGAGTCATCGATTACACTTTTGGGACGCTTCCCTCAATTCGAAGGGACACAATAGGGCATCAACAACGCAATGGTTCCAGGAGCATAACTGGTAACAGTCATTTTCCTTCGTTTCCCCCGTCGTCGTGAGTCGTGACTGATCTCTTGGATCACTGATTGATGACGTCCTTCCGTAACGCCTTGTGGTACGGCGTCCTTCACAATCACATTGAGGCTAGCGGTTCTTTCTCTTAGGATTTTCGTTCGACCGAGCAGCGTTCATGTATATTTGTCCGAGACATTTCGCTTCGGAGATTCACCGCCGCCAGTTGAACTAAGAGCTGCTTATTACGTCATCCGGGCTCCCCGATCGTGAGGCCCATCATGCGCATCGGCTCTGTGACGCTGTCGTTAAGTCAGTCTCTTGTTCGTGTACACATTTCCATGGCATGACTCCATGTGTCTTGCTTTTATCGCGGTCAATAGAAACAACGTCGTGAACCGTATCGAGTGCTCTGGCGTTCCTCCGCTCCCGTCATTCTGACGAGTTCGAGGTGCTACCGTGAAGAACGTGTGGGGACCTGATAGCCTGGCTTATGGGGGTCACACGCTGCCGTATGCCCAATCACGGTGGCAGCGACCTGAGAGAATCAACCTGAGCAACGAAGATGATCAAGGACTTCTTCGAAATCTGGTTGATGTACATTAGTCAGCCGAGGAGCGAGTTGCTTGTGGGCTGCGATCGAGCTCTGTCAACTTTCTTTGATATTCAGCGCTACACCTTATCTCTCACGGATTCATTTATGAGTAGGCACGGGTACGATATCGACTCAAGGCTGGAATTGACGACTCGCGATCGACATTTGCTCGACATATTGTCAACTGCTTGGGCGAGTTCAAGATCGGTGCCCTGCCCATCGCACCGAACGACTCGACCGCAGGCATACTAAACCCGATGCGTCTGTCGGATCATTCACCGCCGAGCAAGAAAACTCGAATGAAGTCGAGGTGGAGTTCTGCTGTCGAATTCGACGATGACAGGTGCTTTATTAAAATATATATCAGTGTGTCATATCGGTGTTTTTCAGAACTAGATATGAATCTAAAAACCTCTTGTTTCTACCGAACGCCCGCGGTCTCTGATCGATGGTCAGGGATCATCAAGGGAACCCCGCACCTAGTTGCACTTCCGGAGTTCTCTTAAGAATTCTGGCAGTCGATATATAGAGACAGTACGATACTTGTCGCGCTTGCCTGAGCAACACGTGCTCGGCGTTCTCGGTGAATCTCAGCTCGTACGCTCTGTTCGTACGCACATTGGTGATGTTGGGCACAGGATGCACAGAGTGAACCACTCTTCCGGGGGAGAAATTCCGGGAGTTCGGACGCACCGGTGGGGAGGCCGTTCCTCGGCCGGAGCGCGTAGAGCACGAAGTTCGAATTCTGACGGAAAAAATCAAGAGATCATCGAGACAGCTCGCCAACGCTTCTGAAGTCGTCGATGACTTACCACAGGAGAGGAGATGTTTAGCTCATACTCACGACTTCACGAACTTCAAATCCTTGTGCGGAGACGCATCGATCGTCCTGTTGCAGAGAGAGTCTGCCTCGTCACTTAGGATCTGGTTTCTCGAACATTCTGATCGGTTGGTCGAGATATCCGAGAGCCTCGATTGGTCACCGCCTTCGATGGAGCTCCTTGAAATACGAGTTATTCAGTTCATTATTCATGTCATTCCTGCTTGCCAGGTGGTACCACTCAAGGTCGCATTTCGTAGGACACCGGGCTGATGACGATCAACGGAGACTCACCCGTTTGCGGAGTCCTGGTCCCGAGAAACCGAATTTAGAACATCGGAATCGATCTCTGCGAGTTCCATCTCTGACGACTCGAATATAAGACTTGGCCCCATTTTCGAAGGAGATTAACACGCGAGTTCGAGCTTTTCCGCCTCGTAAGATTCCGGTACCCTCAACACATATGCACGCACTTGCACGTCAGTGCTTCAGATGTCACATCCGACCTCAGAGATACCTATCCTCTCGACCCGCGGCCGACGGTCGCCAATAATCCATCGTACGCCAGAAGAAGCTGTTCGACTTGAGATTCCTGGGCTGGGAGGATCCACATGTACATTGAAAATCATTCTGTTCATCCTATGCGCGTCCGCGGAGGAGGGGCTGAGAAATCTCAGGGGGCTATACCAGGGGTGTAACTATGAAACGAGAAAATCCGATAGAGGGCGTTAGCTCAAGCTGCAGTTTGAATTTTCGCGCCCGATCAATTGCGTTGTTTACATCGCATTCGCGGTCACACGAAATGGTCGATAGAGTTCGAAAATTGTGTTTCTAAATTTTTTGACACCCTGCCAAAAATGTCCCTCTACGAGCCCGAAAATCAGATTCTCAGGGCCTCGCTGGTTTTCTGCTTTCACTTGAAGAAGAGTGCATCAGAGGCACATTCTCTGCTTGTGGAAGCGTTCGGTGATCATGCGCTTAGCAAATCTCGTTGCTACGCGTGGTATGAGAACTTTTCGAAGGGAAACTTCGATTTGAAGAACGAACCCCGGGGGAGACCTCCAAAAAAGTTACCAGGATCAAGATTTGCAAGTTCTTCTCGATCAGAACAACACGCAAACTCAAAGTGAACTCGCAGAACAGCTGAAAGTTACTCGTGAAGCGATTTCCATAAGACTCAAGAAAATGGGGAAGATCTCAAAGCTCGGCAGATGGGTGCCACACGAACTCAGTGAACGACAGAAAGAGGTGCGATTGACAGTCTGTCGGGAACTGCTCTCGAGATACAAAAACAAGTCGTTTCTGTATCGTATCATCACTAGTGATGAAAAATGGATATACTACGATAATCCTGGACGCAAAAGATCGTGGGTCAGTCCCGGAGAACCAGCAGAGAAGTCAGTGAGAAGGAATCGCTTCGGAAAGAAGACCATGCTCTGTGTGTGGTGGGATCAAGAGGAGTGATCTATCATGAGCTGCTAAAACCCGGTGAAACTGTTGATACTGCCCGTTACCAACAGCAGTTAATCGATCTGAACCGTGCGGTCAAAGAAAAACGACCAAATTGGGACCAAGTTCGGAATCGCGTCATTTTGCTCCACGACAACGCTCCGTGTCACACCTCGAAGCCGACGCAGGAAACTTTGAGCGCTTTGAACTGGGAAGTTCTGACACACCCTGCCTATTCTCCAGACTTGGCCCCCTCAGATTATTATCTCTTCGCATCAATGAGCCACGCTTTGAATAATCAGCGGTTCACCGATTTTGAAGAAGTCGAAAAATGGGTGGTCGGATGGTTCGATTCGAAAAATGAAGCCTTTTATCACAAGGGCATCCACAACCTGCCAGAAAGGTGGTCGAAGTGTATATCTAATCAGGGAGCCTACTTCGAATAAATTACGAGTTGTACTTTTTTTTTAAAAAATTTTCCTTTTCTGAAAAATTTTCTCGTTTCATATTTACACCCCTGGTAAGTCTCCTCCCAGATTGAGATCCGAGATGCTAATTGCTAGCAGGAGCTGGTCGTCACATCGGATTGCAACCCCGTGCGGAGGTCCGATCCAGCCCCACCCCGAAACGAATCCCGCGGGCGTCCCGCCACTGCGTCTTCACCAGGAGCTCTCACTCAATCGAAGGACCGCCCAAAGTCAGAAAGTGATCTGTAGGCGATACGATTCGTTGAGTTTCATCGTCATCGATTCAAGGAGTAACGAGCCGAGCTCGCTCCCAGAATACCATCAAGCGAAAGATTCAATGAAACTCTTCAGAATCATAATCGAGAACGTCTCATTTCCGTGGCCCTCCTGCTCCGCCCCCTCTGCGGACGCATGTGCACCAGGAACAGGATTCATCTCACCGAGTTGCACTCAGCTGCTCTGGGTGAGGACCTCAGGGAGGAGTCTCGCATGAGTCTTCATCACCAGCAAAGTGGAAGACCTGTCCGGGAGAGAGAAGAGCAGTCCGTCTTTGGTGGGAAAACTTTGAGAAGGTAATTCTTTAATATGCAATGAGTCAGAGTTCGAAAATTTGAGTTATTCAAAACTGATGGGTTTTCCCCGTCGCTATAAGATGCGCGGAACGCTATAATGAGAATACTGCAATCAGATCTATCCTCGAAAATCGGAAAATCGAAATACCCTAAATTCATGGTGTATTGATGAGTGATGAAGTGATGAGTAATGATGTGATATGAGATTCAGGTCACCTGGTCCCCCGCTCACCCTCATGAAGGACGAGTCTCATGAAACCTTGTCGGGACTCTCCTTGATCGGGAACCTCAGATGCAATCCGGGAACGTTCCATGTAATCAGAGGAAGTCCCCGATCTCCACCGCACCCGTTCCTGCGTTGCCGGAGGCGATCTTGGGATGCCCTTCAGGCGAAGGTGCAGCACCCGGCCGCCTCTCCGATGGACTCTCCAGCGAGCCTAGGCGTGCATTCCACGTACGCATCTATCATCACGGACAGCCCTGAAATGAGGGCTGATCCGTCTCATCGGGTACATTGCCTTTCAGTGCTGATATTGAAGAGCGAGTTCGACTTGTCGACAAGGTCAGACTGAACAAGCATAGCGGAAATAGGGTCCCATGCAAGCACCGGCTTTCATCTCGAGATCGGCGGTGAAACCGGAGCCTCGGCGCGTGTAAAGTTCACGGTGCAGTCGGCTCGCTCCTGACTTCGCCAGGGTAGTTCCTGCAGATGAGCGAGACGGCTTCCACGGACGCGGCTGGAATCCCCTCTCCCCCCTGGAGGAACCCTGATTCTCCCTGATGGCCCGATCCCTGCTCTTGGAGGAGTTCCTCGCGAACGCTACTGGGATACGTGGTTCGTTCTAGGAAGCATTTCCTCTTGCCGTGTCGCTCGGATTCATTCCTCTATCTGTTCTCCGGCAGAGGGAAGAAATCATATTCACGCTGGATTTATACACCCATCGCTCAGAAGCCTATCACAAGCTCGAACTTCATCCCGAAATCAGTGTGTAGCCTCCAAAGAGGATGTGCTCGATTTATAGCCGCCGCGCCGTCGCGCTGTGGCGCGGTCGCTGCCCGTGCTCCAACGGTCATTCCCATGTGGTGCGACAGCATCGCGGAGCGCGCACATCCACTCCTGTCGCTGACTCCGTGCTCCTTGATAGGAACTTCGGCATATTTAGGGAGCTCGCTCATCGTTCCCAGCTCAATTTATTGATTCGTCGCTTTTCGTATGGATGTACATATGTTTTCCACGGCGTTGCTCTGCAGCAAAGAGCCCTAGAGCCTGGCGGTGCTGCTCCCCTTGACGGATAGAGGGCCTCCCTGGATGCCACTATTTCCACTTTTCGATTTTGCTCATAATAATTCATGCTCAACGACACGTGAGGTCTGAGGCGGCTTCCGGCGATTACATCTCTACCGTACCGAAGGGAGAAAGTCTTCCTAGAAGTTTATGGCATGACCGCTCTATTTGGCGGAAATACTGAGCCTGTGGACAATGTCGATAATTGGGTCCGAGGGATGCCGAGATTGATGCCGATTTGATGGTACTGATCTGCTCATCAGACTAGGGAGAAGGGCAAAGAGGGAAAAGCCCGACCTGAAATCCGGACCGCGGAACGATGGTGTCGCTTAGCGTATGCTTCAAGCATCCACGGGCCATCCCTTTCCTTTCCCTCAATGATGATTCGATTCTCCTATACCTGCCAACAAGCAGACGGAGCTCGGATCGCCCACCCCATTCGGGATACATTGACCACCCCTTCCGTCGGAAACTCTTTATCTGCCATTCGACCAAGATCCGCAGTCCAGGACCTTCTGGCGAGATGATGTGCTACGCGGGATAGATCACTTTGTTGAACAGGGTGCCTCTCAGCTCGATGCTCGCACGAAGCGCAAGGTCGTGTAAATTTCATCTGACGGAAGCTGACCGTTTGCCAGAATCTTCCGTTCGGACACGAGGGAACACCGTGCAGGTCCCCGATTGTCAGCCGCAACGACCTCCGACGGCCGAGCGGAGACGAAATTAGCTCCATCGGCGGGGCCGGAGTACTGCAACGGTATCGCCCCTGACTCCATCATTTGTATATTAGGCAACGAGGTCCGGAAAACGAGCTCTTGCGGAAGCAGGCGCATTTTCACCAGCAACGCCGTGCCGCAAGAATACTAGGTGTCCTGTATTCGCAAATATAATGAACGTCATAGTATGCATTGAATCTGTCTCTCAGAGCGGTTGAAGTGCGAGACAGCCGATTATATAAAGTCTGCCCTGAACGAGGGCACCTGGCTGTCATCCAGAGCTTCATTGCCATTGACCGGTCGCCTGTTTCAGCCTTGAATCGGTCACTCAGCGTCTCCTAACACTGCGACAATGACGCTCGTTGAGGCCGCAGCCTGACCTTGATCTCAATCTCCAGGCGGCTATGAGAAAGCACACGACACCGTATTCGATTTATAGGGAACGAAGACGTCCGAGCTCGGACTGGAATCACGTCCGGATACGCCTGGATAAATTCGGAAGTTCCCTCCGATCCCTCTCAATCGACAGTCGAACCCACGGAAACGAGTGGGTCGGGAGAATCTGATTAGCTTCGGGGCTGGGTCAGCACAAACAGCTGAGGGAAAAAATTATATGCGACTGTATTCCTTCTTTCCATGGACAAGATATTGCGAGCTGCATCAGAATCCGTGACTATCCTGACGTCCCCGCGATAGAAACTTAGACTCGTTCGCTCCGCTCCGATGTCGCCAGGCTCGTGTCATGGTGCGCACCGAGAGGCCAGGGGACGGGTTGGTTAACGGGAACGGTGTTCGAGTCGCGAGGGGGGGGGGATAATTTATTTTATTGTGCGAGGTCTAGTCCATATTATCATGAAATGTATCCACACCCGTGGAACGTGCAGGCTCTCCGCGTGGTGAGCGCAGCAGAGCTCGCAGAGTTCCCTCCATCTGCATGGAGAGAACGGAACGCATTGATTGCGCGGAGAATTTTTTTCGAAACTGAGAATGCGAAAATGTCGATCGCCGTCCGGCAATGAGAAGCGAGAAAAATAGAATCTTGACGAGCCCAGTCGGAATAGATGGAAGCTATTGGGAGCCTGTGCAGCCGGTCAGAGCGCGCACCACCGTCGCGTCCTCTCTCTCGTGAGCGCGTGCGCCGATTCAAGGTTGCAGAAGAAGTTAGCGCTTTTCCCGAAAGAGGAACGCGTATTCTCTTCTAGGTGGAATATCCTGATCCCGAATCGTGAATCACAGAGGAAGGAGTTTCTCATAGGAACCACAAGTTCAAGCCTTCGTGCGACTTCCGAACTGGAGTTTGGCGCTGCGGTGAAGCTGCGCCTCGGGAGTACTCACCGCCCTTCCTCTCCCGAGAGTGGAGAGTGGAGAGCATTGGTGGTGCCTTTTAAGCGAACATTCTGAGAGCGTGCCCTCTACAGTCGATTGGTGACCCTTCGGTGCCTGTGTTCTCCTCGGGCGGCAAGCAGAAAGATCAAGAGTCAAAATGTCTGAGAAGAAGAAGAGTGGTTTCGATCCCATGTCCTTCGCTCAGGATTTCGTGGCCGGAGGAATCGCTGCCGCCGTATCGAAGACGGCTGTCGCCCCGATCGAGCGTGTGAAGCTGCTTCTCCAAGTGCAGCACGCTTCGAAGCAGATCGCCAAAGAGAACCAGTACAAGGGCATCGTCGATGTCTTCGTCCGCATCCCCAAGGAACAAGGATTCTCAGCCTTCTGGCGTGGTAATCTGGCCAACGTCATCAGGTGAGGTTTGGACTTCTCCCCGAAATGCGACCGAGCTGGCGAACGACCCGCTGACCGACCGACCGGCCGGGTGACATTGAGCCACCTCCGCCATCTTGGCCCGAGCTCGAACTCCAGACACCACGTTTCCGTAGAAACCGGTGTTCCTTTCACCTCACCTCTCGATTTACGACGATATATGATCAGTAAATGGATAGAGAACGGATAGAGATGACAATTCCTCTCGCATTCCAGGTACTTCCCCACCCAGGCTCTGAACTTCGCGTTCAAGGACAAGTACAAGCAGGTTTTCCTTGGAGGAGTGGACAAGAAAACTCAGTTCTGGCGCTACTTTGCCGGAAACCTCGCGTCTGGTGGAGCTGCCGGAGCCACTTCCTTGTGCTTCGTGTATCCCCTCGATTTCGCTCGAACTCGTTTGGGCGCTGACGTGGGCAAAAGCGGCGGAGAACGTGAGTTCAACGGTCTCATCGACTGTCTCAAAAAAGTCACCAAGTCGGACGGTATCATTGGTCTCTACCGAGGTTTCGGAGTGTCCGTGCAAGGTATCATCATCTACCGCGCGGCCTACTTCGGATTCTTCGATACTGCCAAGGGCATGCTGCCTGACCCGAAGAACACCCACCTCGTCATCTCATGGGCCATCGCTCAGACCGTGACCACCATCTCGGGTGTGATCTCCTATCCTTTCGACACTGTCCGTCGTCGTATGATGATGCAGTCCGGACGCAAAGGTGGAGACATCATGTACAAGAACACCCTCGACTGCTGGGCCAAGATCGCCAAGCAGGAAGGCAGCGGCGCTTTCTTCAAGGGCGCCTTCTCCAACGTGCTCCGAGGAACCGGTGGAGCTTTTGTGCTTGTGCTCTATGATGAAATCAAGGTTGCTCTGTTCGGAACGAACTGAGCGGAATACGCTCGCTTAGTCTCGGTATTCGTGTTCTGGCTGCCATCAATGAACGCGAGTTACGCCACAAACTACTTCCTAGTTTAAAGAAACAAAAAAGTAACGAGAGTCGAACGGAAACATGCGGCAGCGTACATTCCGGAAGAAACGAACCAATCTCTTGCCATCGTGTGTATGCTGTGCTGTACGACCTCGTGTGTCGTGTGACTGTTCCAGTTTACCGAGTCGTCGGATTTTGCCGTTCAGACTGACTTGGATTTAGGAGGATCTACCAACGAACTTCCGACTTCTAGCTGCGGAACGAAGCAAACCTGTTTTAGAAAATGAGTGAAAGCCTCGACAAAACGAATTGTAGGATGGGAGATCAAACTAATTGATGATACCGGTCGATTATTATTCTCATCACCTTCTCCGCTCAAATTCTTGAGGAAAAAAAATCAGAAAGAACATCCATAAATCTTAAAAAAAGTGTAAAAACAATTCCATTGAAATAAAGGGAGAAGTCCGTAATTTAAGCAAACGTGTCGTCTCCGATCTCATAATGCTAGAGCTACATACCGCTTATCATGCAGACTGAGGAGGATCTACCCTCATGGCTAGAACAACGGGTCCATGATTTGTGTACTATTCTCTTTATTCAATTAGGTATTCGAATCTAAAACGATTTTCGCGGGGCTCTGAGTCGACTCCCTAAGGAGCTCTGTTTAGGGCCGCAGGGATATACTATATGTATATCGAGCTGGATCTCCGAGGGGTTCGGCTATCGAATCTTGCTTGGGTTGTTGTAGAATCATTTGTCAACTCATCGATCAATGGAGGCTCGTGTCCTCGCCTTTGTGTTCCTGGCAAACTCCTCCTGGATCTTCCCGGAGGCGGTCTCACGGTCATGACTACAATTCAATCGATCTTTCATCTCAAAAGATCCGAGAGGATATCGCGCTCCTGGTGATGCGAATACTCTCATTGTTGATATCCGTCACTGATCCGCACGCGAGAGAATGAGTTTTGGGTGTACTTCACCGGAAAGGGTTGAAACCGGCGGTTCCTCTCCCGAATTGCGCTCCAGTATGGTCTTTTAGATAAGTCGTTGCCGAAGCCCTCGATGTACTGACGAACTCTGTTTACCAAGGCTCCGCCTTGGCATGAGCTGCAACAATGCTGCTGTAGAACAGGATGGTCATACGGAAACGTGGCGAATATCTTATCCGGATGATCTCTTCGCATCAACCGGCTAGCTTCCTCACTGAAGAAACAGTCCCTCTCGATAGGCTCTGTCGATTGGATTAGACCGCTCGGCCCCACACGAATATATGCCTAAATCGTCACGGATCGTCGAACGCGACCTTCCCGTATAATTCCGTCAGCTTGGGATCACGGGATCGGTATTGTCGAGCCCGATCCGGATGTTTCAGTGACGTTCCACCGCAGAGGATTGTGAGCAGCTGCCCCGAAAGGATTCGATGCTAGAGTCGGGGACTGCGTCTAGATCCGCAAGTCCCGATGCTTCTCATATTATTCGATTACGCGTCACGACTGCCCCATCGAAGTCATCCCGCGGCCCCTGAAGCTGGGAATCCTTGAACGCCGATTATGAGTTCGCCTGCATCCGCTATCGGAAGTTGACTGTTCGAATTCGTAGGGAAGGACGCTCTATCTATAAGGTCGAGACCGACGGATAACGATGAGACGAGCCGCTCCCAAAGAATTCTCTGTGCGCTATATCGATTAATCCCGATAACGATTAACTCGATAACAACTCCACATCGATTCAATATGCGACGATCCCTTTGCCGCCTCCTTCGGCGAACAGGCTCTTCCCCAAAGACTCGAGAGAGTCCGCCCGAGGAAGTCGGGACGGGCCGATGGCACCACGATTCCATCGACTCATTTACCTGTAGGAGAGAGAGCATGCATTTTCACAGCATCCGAGCAAATGTGCACTGCTCGAACCGCGATCCCCCACACTAGCGTTTCTTCAACATCTAAACCCTCTTGGTCAGCCCGCGGTGCCTGCAGCTCCGCTCGGGACCTCTGGAATTTTTTCTGTGGCAACCTTAGAAAAGCTCATGCTTTCCACAGGGCAATTCTCTGCCGTTGAATTAAGATTCATTCATCCGATCATCGGATCACTTGCGGAGAACAAGAAGGAGAAGACACTTTTGCAGAAGACCTCTTGCTGTTTATCGGAAAAGGTTGACAATCTAAAGGGATGAAAGCGGAACTTGTTCTCTGTACATCGGGGCGGGGGTTGGGAGCGCAAGCAGCGCAAGACTTTGATCTCGCGTCTCAAGTCCCGTTATGCAGCGCTCTTGAGAATGCGTTGTGTGCTGTCTCGAGGTCAAACTTCATTTGCCTGGCCTGTTGTTCGCTGAAGTTGTCCGACGCAGCCATCTCAGACATGGCGTCCAGCCTGGAAACAACGAGAGAGAGAACGATGATCACCCAGCAAGTAGCAGCCTGATGATCAGCCTGATTCTCTGTCTGACCATCAACTAGTCTATATCATCATGATTCATGTTTGGAGGAGCGAAGATGGACTCCTTCCACCCCACGGTTCCTGTCCACAGGAGTCAAGCTCACCATTTCTGGACGATCACTTTGCCTTCGAAGTCATTAGGTAAGCAGGTCAATCGGCCCATTATTTCCTTGATTTCTTTCAGGTCCGGCTGCAGGTCGGCCATGCAGCGTATATCCATACTCAACTTGTCCAAAACTGTCACAAACATCTAGAAGGATCAGAATCCCCATTGAATTCCCGAGCTGCCCATGAAAAGATGCTATCGCACACGTGACCATAACTTCAATCACGAAGTCGCGAGGGGGAACTAACCACAGAGAGATCGGCAACGAATTTCAGAGCATTGCCTCCATTGTCTTTGATCGTGATCGGCCTATCCTCCTTGATCCGCTCCAGAGCGTTCGGACAATCTAGTTTGAAAGCTTCGACAAATTGTTCAATCGTTGGGAAACCCTCACCCTGAACCTGCCGAAAGGCAGCTCTGTATTGCACGAGCAACTTGGAGCAAGCTGCTGTGTACCTGAAAGGTTCGTGGGCGTCAGAAACGGGAGCCTTTCCAAGACATTCTGCGGATTCGACGGATTCGGAAAGCTTCTCGGCGTACCAGACAATGTGGGAGAATTCACACGATAACAAAGTATGCGGACGATCAGTCCGGAAGAGTAAAAGCGAAAGACGGAGAGGTCGAGCTTAGGATTGAGAGAAATACCCACTCAGAAGGTTTGACAGCGTCTTTTATGTAGGCTTTCTCCAGACACTGGAGCGTGTTGATCACGGAGAACAGGTCAGCCATGTTATCATATCTGTGGGAAAATAAATCTTTCAGAATCGGCTTGGTGTTGAGATGCTTGGGAAAGTTTCGGGAGGCTCCGAGGTTTTCCTTCTCTCCGTGAATTCCGCGTTTCTCCGCCAATTATCCTCTTCATGAAATGTTTCGATCTTACCTCGTTCGTTCCCGGGCTGTCCTATACAGCCGGACTTCTTCGTAAAGCTCAGGCCGGTTATCTGGAATCGAGGGAAATATTTTGTCTGATGCCCTCTCACTCAATTCATCGTCTCTGGTGGGCGAGCCTCGCTAGCCAGGTCTCCATAATTATTGAGCCTCTCGGACGGCAACTTCAGTCAAAGAGGAGCTCACGGAGGCTCTACTGTAAACTCGGTTTCACAAGAGTTGATGATCGCGAGCAAGGAGCTCGATCGCATTAGTCATCGAGATTGCGACGTCCCGACGCTAGTGTGGAACTCTGCTTCGTTCGTACAACGCAGTCCATGCCCAAAATTCCTCCAGACTAACGGTGGCCCAAGGCTCTGGATGCTGACAGACCACTCAGACTCTGGGAAGACGAAGAAATGAGGCATCACTAACCATTTGGAGTTTGAATCAAGCCAGAAAAAGATGACATCGTGTTGTTTACACTTTTTCGCACTAGTGGCTCGAGACAGCTGTTGACTGAGCTCTGTAGGATCCCGAGAGAGAGCAGTACACAGCCATGATGCGATGGCAACGACTCTTTCCCCGATTGACTTGTCTGAGTGTCGCTCCCCAAAATCAAAGGATGAGAGGCATGCGTAATCGTGAAAGTTTCCTTATCGGAAGACTGTCCGATACGATTCCGTTATTCGTCAATCGATGACCCCGAAACAAAACACGGTTTATCTCATAGAGGTGATGAAGCGTTAAGGACGGGAGAAGTTCGCTCACTCGGGGACTCCCAGACTTCGGCCGTGGGAGTGGTTCGAGACTGCGGCAAGGACTCGGGAAAGGTTCTTCTCGGCGGGCATTACCATAGTGTCCTGCCGCCCCGCGGCGAGTTTGAGCGAGGGCGGTATTTCGAATTTTCGAAAATCGCGCCAACGCCCTACATCGCCGCCGCTTCATCGAATCGCATCAAAGACTCGACCATCTTTGGTCGCTCCGTGGCTGCTCCCAGTAAAATTTTGTCGTATTTCGATTGGAAGTTGACTCAAGTGGGGCTGGAGCGTCCCTATGATTAGTGAGAGCTAGCGGAGGTGCGGCTACGAATAGCGATGGCTAACGGAGGCATGTTGTGGCAACCTGCTGAGCAGGGACTGCAACAGATCTTGCAGCTGCTCAAAGAGTCGCAAAGCCCAGACACCACAGTCCAACAAACGGTTCAGCAGGTTAGTTAGATTTCGTTTGTTCGCCTTCAATCTACTCTGAAGATTAACGTTGAACATCAGGGAGCACTCGTTGACGCGAAGCCGCCGCAGCTCGTCTGGCTGGTCTCGCACCGAACGGGGGTACTTCCAGAACAATCACGTTCTCGCGGAACACGGTGGGAACAGTTTTTTTCCTAGAGTTCTCCGTGCTCCTAGAGTTTTCCGAACCCCAGAGACTCCCTGTGCCGACAAGCTGGAGGAACACTCGGCAGAATCGCCGGACCAGCGTCGATTATTTGTTTATCCTCTCATTGACTTTTCTCATTCATGAGTAGTGTTGTCTCGAGCGCGAAGACGATTCATGTTTCTCGAGCGATTGTCAAGCTAGCAGCATCCACGAGGTTAACTATCGTGGTGTTGCTCTCGCGAATAAGGAGAAGTCAACAAGGCGAGCCGCGAAATCGTCCGCAAAACTTGGGGACATCGACAAGGATGGCATGTCTGGCGGTCCGTGTTTTCTGCGGCCGAACAGTTGCCGTCAGCTTTCTAGGTCAGATGCGGTACGCTTTCCAGCTATCATAATTAATGCGTATTAAATGCGGAGTGCACGCATACGAGTCGTCCAATCGACCTTTAGGGAATCCCTTAAGCTGCAACCGATCCAGTCTTCCGCGTGTACATCGAGACTGTTCGTGAGGGCGCTGGTATCGCCTGCGGCGAAAGAAACCTGGGAGTCGTTCCCTGTATGAGTCTTCTGTATCCTCTTGTACCGTATTCATGCCCCAAACAGCAGTGTTTCCGGCTCATTACGGACAGTACAGACGGAAGTACCCGAAATGTTTGGCCTTGATTGGACTCTGGTCTCTAATTCCCATGGAGCTTTCGAGAAACAGCAACAATTACGATCTAGATGGGCTCAACGATGCAATCTTCATTGCGATGCTTGCCTTGAAAGCGGAATGATACGGCACCGAATATATATCCTCGGTATCACGAAGGTATTCGAGTCGCGGACGAAATCTAAAACGCGGAGCGATCTCCGTCTACGCGATCACACTAGTCGCTATGTTCAGAGTCTAAAAGGAATTATTCTTCGCAGAAACTCGAAGACTTGAATAAGTACCCTGACTTCAACAACTACCTGATATTTGTTCTCACGAAACTCAAATCTGAAGAAGATCCGACGCGGTCTTTATCAGGGCTGATTCTCAAGAACAATGTCCGCGCCCATTTCCTTAATTTTCCTCCCGAGGTGAGTGAACGCTCCGGCTCAGCATTCGGACTGAACCCTCACGTCCTCGAATCTCGAGGATTCAATTCCAATTCAACGGCATCTCGAGGACATGGAATAAAATAATAATGTTCATCCATCGTAGGTTTCCGAGTTCATCAAGAGTGAACTGCTCGGATGTCTGGGCGATCCTTCGCCGCTCATCCGGGCAACCGTCGGAATTCTCATCACGACGATCGCTTCGAGGGGTGACCTGACTCGGTGGCCTGAGCTACTACCCACGCTCTGTACATTGCTCGACAGTGGGGATTATAACATCTGCGAGGTACAGGAATTATTCCTGTTGGAACGAATGAGGATTACGGCGATACGTTCCGAAAGAAAGCTTCCTATCCGGAGGAATACTCGGATCGAAATAACCCATGGCTTCGCGCTTTCCAGGGAGCGTTCGGCGCTCTGAAAAACATCTGCGAGGACAGCTCAGAACAGCTAGACTCCGATGCCCTGCAGCGACCTCTCAATCATTTGATTCCGAAGTTCCTGCGATTTTTCCAGCATTCATCCCCTCGCATCCGGGCTCACGCGGTGGCGTGCGTCAATCAATTCATCCTTAGCAGGGCGCAGGCACTAATGATGCACATCGACACATTTATCGAGGTTAGTTATGTTTCCCTATGATGTGTATCCCCGATCGCGCCCCCGCAGCTGAAGGAAACCGTTGATGACGCTCTCCGTCCGATCTTCCACAGGGCCTGTTTCGGCTTGCTAGGGATGATGATAAAGACGTACGGAAGAACGTCTGCCATGCGCTCGTGATGCTCCTGGAAGTTCGTGTGGACCGATTACTCCCGCATATGAATAACATCATAGAGTACATGCTACAACGAACTCAAGACACCGATGAGACGGTGGCTCTCGAAGCCTGCGAGTTCTGGCTCACACTTGCGGAACTTCCGATTTGCCGTGAGGCTCTCACACCTCATCTGAACCAATTGATCCCGGTGCTGGTGAAGAGCATGCGCTACTCAAACCTCGACATTATCCTCCTCAAGGGCGACGTGGACGACGATTCGACCGTCCCCGACCGTGAGGAGGATATCAAACCCCGCTTCTATCGATCGAAGACTCACGGCGGTACCATGCTGCACGGCCAACAAGCCCACGAGCAGAACGCCAACCAGGAAGTGCACGACGACGATGACGACGATCTCGACGCCGACGACGAAGACATCTACCAGGATTGGAACTTGCGCAAGTGCTCGGCTGCGGCTCTCGACATCCTGGCCAACGTGTTCCAGAACGATCTTCTGAGTATTTTGTCGCCGATCCTCAAGGAAACGCTCTTCCACCAAGAGTGGGTGATCAAGGAGAGTGGAATTCTAGCTTTAGGCGCGATCGCAGATGGCTGCTCGAGCGGCATGACACCTCATCTGCCTGAGCTCGTTCCATTCCTCATTAATCATTGCCTCAACGATAAGAAAGCCCTGGTGCGTTCGATCACCTGCTGGACGTTGTCCCGCTACTCGAACTGGGTTGTCAGCCAGGAACATGCGCAGTTCCTGCAGCCGCTGATGACCGAGCTACTGAAGCGAATTCTCGACCCGAACAAAAAAGTCCAAGAGGCCGCGTGCTCGGCGTTTGCCACCCTCGAAGAAGAAGCCTGCACGGAGCTCGTTCCATACTTGCAATACATTCTCGAGACGCTGGTCTTCGCATTTAACATGTACCAACACAAGAACCTTCTCATTCTGTACGATGCCATCGGGACGTTGGCTGTTTCGGTCGGGCACCATCTGAACCGACAGGATTACATCCAGATGCTGATGCCCCCCCTGATTCAGAAATGGAACATGCTCAAAGACGATGACAAAGATCTCTTCCCTCTGCTCGAATGCTTGTCGTCGGTCGCCACGGCCCTGCAGGTTGGATTCCTTCCTTACAGCGAGCCCGTCTACCGTCGCTGCGTTTCGCTCGTCGAACAGACTCTGCAACAGAGCCTGGCTCACCAGGCTCACCGAGACCAGTTCGAAGCTCCGGACAAAGATTTCATGATAGTGGCCTTGGATCTGTTGAGCGGTCTGGCTGAAGGATTGGGTGAACACATGGGGACGCTGGTGGGATCTTCGAACTTGATGGCCCTATTGTACCAGTGCATGCAGGACGCCTCGAGCGAGGTTCGACAGAGCTCGTTCGCCTTGCTCGGTGACCTCACGAAGGCATGCTTCCAACACGTGAGACCCTGTGTTGCCGAGTTCATGCCGATACTTGGCGCGAATCTCAACCCGGATTCGCTGTCGGTTTGTAACAACGCCACTTGGGCCATCGGAGAGATCTCGGTGAAACTCGGCGCAGAGACTCGCCCTTACATCCCCATGTTCCTTAATCAATTGGTGGTGATCATCAACATTGCGACCACACCCAAAACACTTCTCGAGAACACAGGTAGGTTCCACCGCTCCAGTCGACCACTCGGGAAATTTATCTTCGCTTGTCTCCGTCTTTTTCGGCTAGTGATCGAACTATTCGCTCGCGATGGGCTCAAGTTGTTCTCATTATTATTCATCATTCATCATTATCATAATATTACTATTATTATTATATTCATTTATAGTATCACATTATAATATTCGATCCGATGTTCGAGAATGCTCAATCATTGTCACCTCCACAGCAATCACCATCGGTCGTCTAGGCTACGTGTGTCCACAGGACGTGGCGCCAAGCCTGGATCAGTTTATCAAGCCGTGGTGCATCTCTCTAAGGAACATCCGGGACAATGACGAAAAAGACTCGGCCTTCAGGGGGGTGTGCTCCATGATCGGTGTGAATCCGGGAGGTGTTGTCAACGACTTCATTTACTTTTGTGATGCCGTTGCTTCTTGGGTTAATCCGAGAGACGACCTGAAAAACACATTTTTCGAGGTACGTGAGCTCCTCAGTTATCGTGAGGGTATCCAATGATCGATAGGTACACTTGGTACAATATGGATCGACATATGGCTTTCCTGTCGGAATGATTCGTGAGCGAAACCGGTCCGTTCGCAAGTGGTAACTGTTTTCCCCCTCCTCCGTCTAGATTCTGCACGGTTTCAAGAACCAGGTTGGTGAAGAGTCGTGGATTAGATTCACAATGCAGTTCCCCCAGCCTCTGAGAGAACGTCTTCGTCAGACGTACAACATCTGAGCAAGGGACACAAGGGTAAAAACAAAAAGGAAAAGTTCGCGAATCAAGCGGGATATTGGGAAGGACATTCACCACCTAGAGCTTCTTTGTTCATCCTCCTACTGACTTTATTATTGTCGATGATGGTTATTATTCTCACTAGCATTATTATTGTTCTGTCCCACTCGGTGAATGAAGTTTCGACGCCTCCATCACATGCCAGACTAAATATGATGAAAGACACCGAAAGGAAAGTTTTCGCACGTGGCCACAGATGATTGTTGATCACGATTCGAACAAGCATCAGCGGGACTTAAAATCTAGATAGAACGCGCAGTTCCCGTATGGGGCTCAGACGCCTGACGCCCTCAGGCAGCCGAGACTCATAGGTGGAAACTACAGACCTAGACATACCCATAGGCAACTCCAAACCTTGAACAATAAGAACCTCTAGATAGATACAGCATCATCTTATAGATATGGGATAAGTTGCTAGACAGACGACCTTAACAGCAACGAGTACTTCTAGGTCGCTAGATCCCTTCCTAGGTAGCGAATAACTCGTATAGGCAAGCTAGGCGAAACTAAGTAAGTGTAACGAGGGGACTTAGTGCCGGTTGCTAATGCGAAGCTGTCGTAGTCACTCCGAAAACGCGCAAAGTTTCTCGAACCGTAGAAAAGTTCGAGGAGCGAAAACATACGCCTTTCCCTGTTGAGCAATCTCTCTGGTTCTTGCCCTCGAATGACGTAGCAAGGATCTGAAAAACCGGCGAACCTGAAGAAGATTAAGCATAAGCGAAGCAACAATTATATCTGGACGATAGCAGATTATCGTACACTGCACTAAGTGATGGGTGAAAATATCAGATCCGAACCCAAAGCCGGAGGAGTGGCCGTCACTGCGGGATGAGACTTCGTTAGCAGAGCCTAATGATTGAAAGGAAGGAGCTCATTAACGGGACACGCAAACGTGGAGGAAGCGCCATGAATTCGATGGGAGACTTTTTCGTCTTCTATGGACGCGCGCCTCGGTATCAAGTTCTGATCAAAAGCCCTTCTTAAGAGACGCCGTCGAGCTATGACAAACTCGACGCGACCAAGAAGAGAAGCCAATGATCGACGACATCGAGACCGACGCGAAATACCGCTCGTTTGATTCCTCTGCTCAGTGAAGATCCCGTGTTTGGAGGATTCCCTCCGTGAAATTTGTGGTTTCTCTTGCGACTGCCGTCTCCGAATCTTTCGATAACATGAGGCAGACAGGAATATAGACTAAAATCGACTTCACTCATAGAGATCAATGAACGTTTTCCCCCATGATTCCGAGAAGACGAGTTCCGTAACGAAGAAAAAAAATCGTGTCTCAATGGACGTCGAGCATCCAATCCGACTGTTGCTTTGAAAACCCATTCTTCAATAAGCTGTGGCTTCCAGTCAGACCGGGCCGACAAATTTGTACGATGAGTTGGCGTCCGTTTCCTTTGTCAAGGAATAATTTTGCTCCTGGTAAATGGACAAGAGCTCGTCGGAACCTCAGTCAGTGTGTCCTCCGTGTAAACTATTGTTCTGAGCCAAGGGCCGACCGAAGTATGGAGTGGAAAGATCCGTGTCTATTTACAGACGATTTCAATATTTAATGTTTCCGTACAATCGTCATGTCGTTCCAATATTGCGAATCACCCCTGTCGCGTATTTTCTGAGAAGCTGTTTTGGGGTCTCTTCCTCAGGCTGATGAGTGCAGCAAGTAAAAGTCGTTTTTCTGAAGTTGACGTCGTTTCCAGCCCTTATTGGGTATCCACTAGTTCAAAGGGGTGTATGTGAAAGGACACATGATTCCAGACCGAGAGACAGGGGAGGAGGGAGCTCGAACGAATGAGTGTACAGGACGAATGCTTGGTTACGGATGACTCCGACGGTGGGTGGCTCGGCGAAATAACGTTTCTGTCCCTGAGTTTTGCATATGGAATATCCGGCGAGCGACAAACACAGGGAACTTCGGTAGAAGTTTGGTGCCGAGTACAAACCTGTTAATTCATGACAGGCTTCGGTTCAAGCATTGAGACTCACAAAATTTCGGGTGAAAGCGTCCGTTCACGAGCGGGAGCGATTCTTGTCTCCTCCGCCAAAAGAGTGAAATTCAGGCGACAGGGAACTCCGACATTAATTATGCTCGGAGTGTCGAATTCATCCATTTGAGCACCTTCGGGGCGCCACCCCCCGGCGATGAACGCAGAACGGAATCTTTTATCTACGTCGCTGAGTCCTCGAGCCAAATAATTCAAGCCAAGAATTGAGTGAGCGATGGTCAAGAAGAAAGTCCAAGACGAAGAGTCACAGAGCAACTGAAGAGCAACATCAATGAGCGGCCGACAGCTTCATGAATCGAGCAGAATCGGAACACAGAATTTTCTCCTCTAAGATGGCTCCGAGAGATTCTTTTTCGGAATGGATTCCCGACACTGGAAAGAGGTGTTCACTATGCATACCGATTGTGATAAAACAGTTCAGAACGAAGCCTCTCCGAAGCCGTGACGGCCCTCCAACGCCCAAGCATGACACGATACCTTTAGACATAAGAAGAGAGAATTTATGACGATGTTGAGAAATAGTCCAATACTATAAGACAGATATATACTCCGGGGGGAACATTGATAGGTAATAGCATATTGGATATATATACATAAATATATACATAAAGCGAAGATACCTAATATCATCGATAGTAATAATAAGAATTATTGATGGTGAAGGAGCAGGAGAGCTAGCAAGTTCTTATGCATACCTGAGGTACTAAGACGAAAGAGACAACCAATCAATCACCCTCGCGATAAAAGGCTGTTGGGATCATTTTAGACAGGCCTATTTCCCATGAGGATCATGAGAAGAGAAATAGAGCTTTACGAATGAGAATCCTTAGATATCGCCAGGCCGGAGCTGAGGCCTGAGTGGCTATAATGAGGAGGAGATGGATTACAAAAGTTAGAGGCGTTGTCAAACCCACCGCGATTGGTCGCCGGTCGGAATTCTTATGCAACTTGCGGAGAGTGTGAACTAGCTAGCGAAATTCGATAATGAGGTACTGGAGATGGAATCTACCGATAAGCGAATTGATTCTCGTAGGAATATACATGTATCTAATGAGAGGTGGAGGCGATCCCCTCAAGAGACCGCGGGTTGTAACGCTTGTGCTGGAAGAGCGGGAGCAGCGGCTCAGGAATGCACTTTTTTTCAACGGTGCCGAAAACACGATTAGTGCACTAAGAGTCGGCGGTCCAAGAGGATTTCATGCCGAGAACTGTCGCTGCCAGACGATTACGGCGCTTGATTTAGATAGTTCGATCCGAAAAAGGCAACTAGAGTGAGACATGCGCGTCAGAAATCCTCTCAGATTCGACCTGCGCATTTTTCTTCGTTTCGAAACGAAGAGAACCTCGTCGCTCACCAGCAAGGTGCAATAGGCAGCAGGATGACAGCTCCGTCTGGAAAAGCCTCCACATGGTTGGTGAGCGTGCGCCGTCCCGAAACCCGCGACCTCAGGTCGGCTTGGCATTGCTCGTCCCCATTTAGCGAAATTAGAGTATTTGCCATGGAGATAAAACGGCGAAGCAGTTCTTATAGTCGAGGCTCAGAATCATAGATGAACTTTTCTCTTCTAGTTCTAGATAATCTTTAGGAAGGTGTGTGTCCAACGAGCTCCAGAATTCGACGTCCAGCTCCTATGTATTGAACCAAAGAGTCAACGGAGTGGGCACCACATTCTCCGAGAGATTCTATGTAAACGATTTATTATGTTTGTCCATATGTAAGCGATTTGTTCATAGTTTCTTTTTTTATGTATTATTTTCTCGGTTGAATATTGCGTTGAAGCATGGACGAGGAACACACAAGACAACTGTTTGCTCCAGCTCGTTTTTCGAGATGCTGGGAGAGATGTCGAAGCTTTTCCGTGCCTATCTGAAATTCCGGTCAGTCAAGAATTCACAGCTATATCGATTCATCGAGAAACGAAGGGAATTCCTCATTCTTATTCGATCGAGACTTCCGTCTGGGCTTCGATTGCACGAAGCCGAGATCATGCCCTACTTCCCGAAGTCCCTGAAGTTTGCTTCGTCCCCCGATTGATTGACCGACGGACTGACCGACCGACTGGTAGGCTGGCTTGCTGGCCGGCTCGGAGGCGGACAGCATCGCGTGTGAAGAAGCTCAATTTTTTCGTCCTCTGATCATTAAAGCATAATCGAGGTATCAACCAGTTCGCAAGCTCTCTCATTTGTTCAGTGTCGAGGAAGGCCTCGATGTGTATCTGGGTTCGTTCGGGAAATCGAATCGCGGGTCCGGGAAGCAAGACTCTGCTTATATTTGTTTCTAGTCTTGTTCATAGTCGGGATTGAGTTGTTTGGCGAAAGTCTTGCCGACAGATAAACAGGAGAATCTGACGAGGTTGGGGAAAGGCGACTCGGAGACAGAGAGACACGTTGAGGCGGAGATGGTAGAATACTCAGAATTCGGCGGGGCTAGATCTTCAGGGAGCAGAAGGTCTGAGGCCGAACCCAAAAATCGCCTCTGAAATTCCGGGCGATGAATTGTCTGATTTTGCTAACGCCGCTCCTGGCCTTAGTTTCTCTGAAAGAAGGGAGAGAATCGAGCCCTTTCATCTACCGATGTTAATGGTTGAATCCTAGAAATTGATCCTCATTCCTCAAAAATGGCGTAATCGATATAGTGTGACTTTAGGATATCGATGACATACGCTCGACGGAATCATCGTATTTAGGAATATGTAATACTATGGTATGGATAAGATAGGCCTTCGGCGGAGATGCGGTGATCAAAGAATAGGCAGTGGCGCTTTAGACATATCGAATGATCGAATGATTCCACGTTTCCCCACACACCTCAACTACGAACAATGAAGACAAGAGAGAGAGGTCCTGCACCTTCCCAGGGGAGCCGACGCAAACTCTGAGGAACGCTTTTTCATCTGTGAAATTTTTCTTCTTCCCCGTTTTCACTCGAGGCAAAGACGTAATCGTGTATTGAATGTCTTTTGTAATTTTCTCAAGGCCGGTCCCGTCTGACGGATCGTGATATCAAGCGTAAGACAAACTCAACAAAACTTACGACGCCACAGT